CCGCCGCACGTTGTTAATCTCTGGCTACACCTCTGCCACTCACGTCTCATTTAGGTCAGACTCTTTTGGCGCTTGCCAGTCAGAGGGCAGGCTGCTGCCGCTGCCACTGGTGTCCCTCGTGGTCATCGGCGCCGCCGCAAATCTGGGGCCACACCTTTCTGACAAGACGTATTGCTGGGTTCCACAGCCTGGCACGTCTAACTGAGAGCAACATCACCTCACCTCTGTTTACCGCTGCACCCTCAACCTCCTTCCCAGGCCTATTATACAACCGTCAAATACATGCACACATTCCTTTTTCTAGTGGCACTCCTTCAGTGGCAAATGGACCACCTGGAGAGGCACTGGGTAGAGTTGGGTCTAGACCTCAGGCCCAAACATCTGGCACGGTCTGAGTGCTGTTTCATTTAAAAAAGTATAGGGCTGGGTATCAGTGCTGGATACCTTTAAGGTATCAACCAAAATAACCCAGTAGCAAAATTTTCAAGTCAAACAATACCTGCATTCGATCCTTTTTGTGTCCAGATCTAGAAAAATAACTAATTGTATGGTTTTGCTCATCACCAATCCAGTAGTGCTGGATATTGTTTAAAAATGACAATACCAGTACTAGAGTGCTTCATGTGATACCGTTTTTTCTACTTCAGCCATTGAAACTAAATAGAAACTAATGCTTTTTTCTTATAGGCTAAATGTAAAAACAATAGCCTACAGAAAAGGCAATTAGTTAAAGTCTTAAAGTCAACTTTATAAATATTAGGCCTTAAAATCATTAAATTGTCTTAAATTTGGATTTTTGAGGTAGTATTGCCACAAACATTTTATCTAATTTATTCATTTATTTATCTTTTTGGGTATGAGTGTCCAAATTTCTGTTGTTACTAATCATTAAACCACTGGACCTACTTATGTCTTTTTACTTTAGTCTACCTGCTGGCAAATATTGGTTAACCGAACTCCTACCTTTGCACAGGACTATGTATATATTACTTACTTTTATACTTAATACTTTTTTCTTACTAAGTGCTTGAATAAGAAAAAAAAAGATGATTTGTCCAAAGCTCTGTCTTAAATTTGTTTAAAAATATATTTTGAAAAAGTATTAAAAAGCATTAAATTTAAGTGTCTGATACCTACAGACACCTTGACTTCAGTAACATTACATTAATTTAATGTAAACTTGTTTTGTTGTCATATTAAACTGTATTAGCTCATTTCACTGTTAGTTCTGTTAGCTCTCTTAGCTCAGTTAGCTGTTAGCTCAATGAGACAACACACCACAGAGCTCTGCGGTCCAACAGCTGCTAACAGTTATCTAGCCCTCTTCTTAATGATAAGCACACAAAGACACACTCCATCGTAGTCGCTCGATGCACTTTGTCAGTTGATGAACGATTTCATCACGGATGTGTCCTGGGGAAGTTTGATCCAAAAACATTTTTAATTGTAACCAGTACAACAGGATGACATTAGCCTCAAGCCCTGGCTAGCTAGCAATGAGTACTGTTTGCTGTATTCATGGAAAATTAATCATGAACTCTAACATTGCGTTAGGGCTGGCAGTATGGGGATTTATTTATTTATTTATCAAACCTTTACTCTGGATTATATATTATATTCAGTCATTAGCTGTCTCTGTTAGCTCTATTAGCTGTTAGCTCTGTCAGCCAACACACAGCAGAACTCTGTTGCCCACCAGCTGCTAACAGCTAACTTGCTGCATGCGCACATCTAAAACGGTGGCTCTCTGGCTCTGCAGGGGGACGTTTCGCCAAAAATCTTCCCAAAAACAAGGACACTCCACCTCTGAACCACATAAAAACATGGTGTTCAGGTTCATGGTTTGATCTGATGAAGGCTACGCTGCAAACTATAGAACGCTGTATTGACTGAAGTGCAGAAATCGTCTCTCGTAACTATAAGGCTTTAAAACTGATTGAAAAGTCGTTGAACTTAATTATCTTGATGTCAAAGTCCTGTGTGAACCCACCAACTGCCGGTCCAGTATTTAACTTGTGATGGCTGAGCTACTCGCATTAAGTGTTAATTTAAATCTGGCCTTAATCTCAGTGGACTGGTTGGGTTTCCTTAGAGACAGACATCTTCACTTCCTTTCCACCTCATTGCCTATGTTAATAGCTTTTGTTGACCACTGGATCTGTAATGTATGAACCGTTAAACCACTGTTAAATCCTCATATTCCCCCCGTAGCTGTTTGTTAATAGGTACGTGACCCCATTGGCACTGAATGTAAATGAACAAACAAAGAGTGTGTGTCTTTTTCATGCAAAGTCAGCTTTGTTGTAAATTCACTCTGACCTCAATATCTCGGATTAATTTCGGTGTTCACCCTAATTATCACACAGGGAGAGGTAATGAAATTCAGTGTTTTTTGGTAGATGACTAAGATGCTGAGCTAAACCCCCCGGCTGTAGACTATTTACAAGACTGACTGGAAACTATTTACTTTTAAAGCAACTTTTAAAGTTTGTAGTTTTACCAATAATCTTTTTGCCAAGAAGAATTTCTTTCATGTTTCTCATTGCATTAATAGTCACTTTAAAATTGTGTATAATCCTATGCCTGTAGCTTTAAGGTACAACGTACAGGACTTTTGGACACCTGAGACCAAGTTTTCATCCTGTGTTGTTTGTGCTCTCAGGCTATTAAAACTAATAATTGAGGTTAGGAAAGAGGTTGTGGTTTTGTTGAATATTTAAAAAGTAAATTCCTTCTGTTTTGTGCCTAAAGTCTGTATTAACTTTGTTAGTAGTTAATGAAAACCACCATCTTTTCGTGACTTAAACCAAGTGTGTTAAAGTGCCCAGAGATGACTGCATGACTCATGCTGTAGCTGATACCAGAACTGTCGTGGATCCAGTTTACAGCTCTGGTTATACTGTAGGGAAACAAATTAATTGTGTTGACAGTGTACATGTTGCCACACAGGGTTTGTCACTTGTTCTTATTTTATTAACAACTTGGTGTGACATTGGAGATATGACCACAGAACACATTTGTTCCTACCATAGACTGTATAAAAAGATGGATGACGCATCTACACTTACCCCGACCGTACAGAAGGGAAGCCAAATGTAATAGACTGTAGAAATAATGGATGTAGCCACCTTGATGTCACCCACTGGTTTGTGGACTGCCATTTGGAAGCCTTTAGTTTAGCACTTAGGCTGTCGCCATCTTGTATTTCTGGAACCAGACATGCTTATATTTGGACGAGAGGGTGGAGCTGTGGAGCGAGGGGTGGATCTGACTGAGGGAGCCAGAGGACACTACACACACCCACCTACACCAGCAACCTGACTGAAAGCTGCACCCGACTTTGCCTTGCTAAATTGCTGAGACAAAGTTAGCTTCCATAATTCGAGGTAAACTATAGAGATGAGTATCAGAGTCATCCTAGTGACGTGAGCTAATTGCATACATGTCCACATTTGGCGATGTTACATATACGAGGAGTAACGTTATCCTTGTAATGTTATTGTAGCATTAACTACCTTAAATGACAGAAACCATTTTGGGGGAAAATTTACGAGAAGTGACTTTTGAGTTTTTAGCTCGGCTCATGTCCCATCCACTAACACTACACTGACCTGTACTGCAGCCAGCCACCAGGGGGCGATCAAGATGTTTCGGCTTCACTTTTGAGGAGCTGTCAAGTCGTCCATCTTTATATACAGTCTATGGTTCCTACCTTCTAATATCACCCACAGGAGTCAAATAGTTTCACTATTGGATTCAAATGAGCCCAATGTGAGTAAGAGTCATACGAGTGATTATTCAGATCATAGCTTTCACTTCATCTGTGTTTGTCTCCTCTGCTGTAGTTGACAACTTAAAGGTGGATTTATACTTGTGTTTCAGCTCTATGCAGAGTCTACACTGTAGCCTACGCCGTTGTGAATATTTATACTTGTGCGGTTGTGTCTGTGTCACCAAATAGAATGCAATAATACACTCACCAGCCACTTTATTAGGTACACCTTGCTAGTACCAGGTTGGACCCCCTTTTTAATTCCTGGTGTCATAGATTCAACAAGGTGCTGGAAACATCCCTCTGAGATTTTGGTCCATATTGACATGATGACATCACACAGTTGCTGCAGATTTGTGGGCTGCACATCCATGATGAGAATCTCCCGTTCCACCACATCCCAAAGGTGCTCTATTGGACTGAGATCTGGTAACTGTGGAGGCCACTCACTGACATGTTTGAGATGATGTGAGCTTTGTGACATGGTGCGTTATCCTGCTGGAAGTAGCCATCAGAAGATGGGTACACTGTGGTCATAAAGGGATGGACACGCTCAGCAACAATACTCAGGTAGGCTGTGGTGTTTAAACCATGCTCAGTTGGTACTAAGGGGCTAATAAAGTGGCTGGTGTGTGTATAAATATGAAGAAGACGCTTTTAAAGGGAAGCAAATGTTGGTGAGCGACACCTCCAACCTGCAGAGACTATAACATGAAAATGCTGCTTATTTATTGTTTGTTTAAAACCTGATTTTAAAGCAGTGCTGACAGAGTTCAACACTTACTCACCTCCTTAAAAGCCACTGAACTACATCACTGCTGGATTCAGTTAGTGTATAATAGTAGTGTGACATAATCTCTACTTCATATGTCTTTCCCCAAACATTTGCTTTGTCTGTTAACTGTTTACAGCATGTGTGCGTCACATGGTTCTCTAATCTGAGCCGATATCACCTCACATACGTTTTAAATTCCTGCTGACAGGTGCTAAGTGAAGAGATCTGATCATCAGAGTGGAGACGTAGCAGATCCTCAGCGGGGGAACAATCAGTAGAGCTTCATTTTGGTCTAAACAACACGTTTGTTGTTTCCTCTGCACACCAGCTGCTGCTGCTTCCCCTCTGAGGATTCATTGGCAAAACAACAAAAGAGAACATTCTCAGGTGCTTTCTGTTGTTGTTAGTGGTGTTGATTACAAGGTCTGAATAATGGACAATTACAGGAAAATGTGACTTTAGGAACGTTGGCCACATGTGATGTGCATGTGTCACAGCAGAAGGAGGGCACTGCACACGGTTTTAATTCAGTCATATATCACTAAGCAGATTATTTTCAAGACAGGTGAACAATGGTGTAAGAAAAACAATGGATGTATGGTTTCACAGGTACGTTTATCCAAGGTTTTATGGTTTTAACGACAATGGCTGGGAAGTGCTCCACAAAGCTGACCGCACACACAAACATGTAGTTTTTATCTTCTGGTTTGCAGGAGGTGGGAAGAGAAAAAGAAGACGAGCCCTGGCTCCAGGCTTCTGTCCTCAAGGAGGTTTTTGGTATCCGTTGATAGGGCTCCCTGCCTGAGGACAGAAAAATAAACTGTAAGTGAAGATGACCAAAGACAATAAACATAAAGGATGTGCAAGAAGGGAATTCAGAGAGATAAATGCCTTTTGGAGGAATGTCCGAGTAATGGCAGAGCAAGGTTGCATATTCGTAGTTAGGAACAGACTGTTGAAAGAAGTGTAGCAACTTAAACAGACACACTGGTTGAACAAGCTAAAGGGTAACCTTTGCAGCCTAGGCTTTTTCTGGTCAGAGATTTCCTTAGTGAACAGATGAGCAACGAAATCACTTCTACTAGTAAAGTTTGCACTATGTGACCACATCAGTGGGTAACGTGAGTGCTGAGGTCAAAATTGGGGCAAGCTCTTGATCAGCCCAGTCACCAGAATAAAATGTTTCTATTGTACAGTTCTGCAAACCACAGATATGTTACATTAGTACATAGTTCAGATTACATGTTTATGAGCTGAGTTTCTCATGAGGAGGAGGAGGGAGGGATGGTGGATGGCGTGAGACCAAGACGCTGCAGCAGACCACAGTTAGAGACCATCAAGAGCAGGTAGTTTTTATGACATGTCAGGATATTTCCAGCTGTGTTTGTAGCGACCAAGTGGGGTAATTAAGCCACAACATGATGTTTGTTCTAACCTTAACAAAGTGGTTTTTGTGTCTAAACCTAACCACAGCGTTGTTGCAACATCAAATCAAAATGTAGTGTTTTCACATGTCTGCTACATATCTAAAACAAAGCTTTCGATTTACTGGCCCATCTATGTCCCAACCCTCACCTATGGTCATGAGCTCCGGGTAGTGACAAAAAGAATGAGGTCGCAGACACAAGCGGCTGTAATGAGTTTCCTCCGTGAGGTCGCTGGGCTCAGCCTTAGAGATAGGGTAAAGAGCTCAGACATCCAGAGGGAGCTCGGAGTAGAGCTGCTGCTCCTTCATGTCAAAAGGGGTCAGTAGAGGTGGTTCAGCATCTGATCAGGATCCTCCTGGGTGCCTCTGGCTGGAGGTGTTCGTGCACGTCCCACTGGTAGGAGGCCCCGGGGCAGACCCAGAACACGCTGGAGGGATTACATATCCATCAGGCCTGGGAACGCCTTGGGGTCCCCCAGGAGGAGCTGGAAAGCGTTGCTGGGGAGAGGGACGTCTGGGGTACTTTCCTTGGCCTGCTGCCTCCTCTGTGACCCAGCCCCGAATAAGTGGATAAAAATGGATGGATACATGATGGACAAATGCAACGTGTTTACATTTGGTGTATGCTACCCTGCCAAATATCGGCTGGGATACGCTGTAGCTCTCCCACGACCCAGTACCAAGATAAGCAGTAATGGAAAATAAATGAATGAATTTACTGTGAAATAGGTCCAAACTCCTGTTAAAAAACTCACTTTTTATCTCTCTAGCTCTGAAGAACAATACTCCTCTCCACAGAGTGTGAATCTACAGGTTATATAAATCATGTCAGAACTGTAATGTGTTTTATCATGGTTGTTTCCTCTATGTCTCCGGCGGTCCCTGCTCCTCCAGCTACATTTCCTTCTTTCAGTTCTGCAGAAAAAAAGCACCCTGCATCATCTGCACTCAATCAGAATAATTATCCAAAGAAATGCAGCGCAGAGCCTGTGAGAGGTGAGGGGAATGAAGCACAGAGGCTATTGGCAATCACCTCCCTCCAGTCATTATTAGTCATCTCTCTGCTGCTTTGGAAGAGAACCCGGACGGATTGGGAGGAAGCCATGTGCAGCTGACAGACAGACAGACAGACAGACAGACAGACAGACAGACAGAGAAAAGGCCTGATGTGACTCCTGTGCCCAGAAAGTATCAGCGATCACTCAAGGCTTTGGCAGCGCAGCGGCTCCTCTGGGGACTGGCAGCGATCCGCACACGAGCATCAGCCTTATGTTCTGTCTGTCAGGCTTCCTCTTATCCGCAGATTTTAAAAACACTGAGCTTGTCACTCTGAAGATGTGGAAGCTTTTAAAAATCCCAAACACCTTTTGGGTCCTTACTATAAAAAAAATCCACCAGGCAGGAGGGTGAGGTGTTCGAGGTCCTGTCAGGACTTGTGAACGCTTCCTGAAGGAGTTCTTTGTGGGACACTGTGGGGTTCCTGTTTGATTGCAAAATGACTTTGCAATCAAAAGTTCCTCAAAGGCCTCTAACTTCTTTTAAAGCAGACTGATTAGACTCTGGTGCCCGTGAAGTATCAGTTTTATGAATGTACTGGCAGCCCTACAAGTCCACAGGGGACTGGCAGTCGTCCCCTGATGAATATCTCTGTGTTTTCAATTTCTAATTTCAACCCTGGGATTTGCACTAGTATCTGATCCAGAGATTTCCAGAGGCTGAACTGGTCACTCTAAAGGTAGACAATTGTTTCTGAAAGTCCAGCTTCAGTAGTTTTGCACCTTGGCCCTGAAAGATGAACAAATAAACCCTCATATCAGGTACTATTATTATATAAAGGCAACAAATCACCCTCAAAGCTTGTTCACTTTTTAGATTAGGAGCATTTCAGGAATTCGGGTGATAATTCTCTGGCATATTCATTTCCTCACTTAATAAACTTCTTGTGTCTTGTGCAGATGTCGCTATATTCTCAATCCCTGCACTGACCTGCAGTTGGTGAGTACCGGATTATTATTATATTATTATTACTGATGGAAAGAATTGCCAAAAACTACAAAAATACACACCAAATTGTAATAAACTGGAAAGATTCTTAAGGCTCATCATTTTGGTTGAAACTTATGTAGGGGCAGATCAGTTTGACCTGTTTTTCAAACATTTTTATGCCCCATTGTTCTTCATAATTGATGTTTTAATCTAACAAAAGATACTAATCACCCAACTTCACCCAACTCCAACACTCAGAATGAGTATTTCTGAATGCACCACTTGCATCATCTTCCTCCATCGACAACAGAACTTACTAGCTAGCACTAGCTAATGTCTGTGGAGAATTGTTTTGCCTCCAGCTAAGCCCCGCCCACCAAAAAACGACACATTTTAAAATAAATAATTATAGTTGGCCTCTGTGCCCCCTAGTGGTTGTTGGGTGATACGTCTTCCACGACACACCTGATAATAAACGCTCCTCATCTCTGCAGTGCAGCTGAACACTGCAGGAGTCCCATTTCCTTGTTAAAATACACAGCAGACAGACAAAATATCACTGATGAGACTTCAATGCCTTTGATACAAGTTTCAGTGGGTTTTTATTTTTTTTTTAAATCCTGGCTCCACAACAAACCCACTGTGGATTGGCAGCTGTGCCCAGATAATTATTAGAGATCTCGGTCCAGAGGTTTTAAAACACTGAACTGATCACTCTAAAGATACTGGTCCCCTCTAAACTCTAAAAGAAGTGTAGCAAATCGGTACACTACATGTAAAATAGACCTGAAGGAGCTCTTCTCCAGGGAAAACAAAATGATTCGAACAGTTTGAAGAGCTCCTTTTTAAACCTGAAGTGATTTTTTGGCCACATGGGGGAAGCAGAAACACTGTGACATCGTTTTCACATCATGATTGTTGTTGGTATTAAAACACTGATTAGCTGCTTTTATGTTCAGTCGAAACATGATGTTCATACATGTCTGCAAACACTCTCATAAAGGAGTTCAGGGTGGATGGATGGTGTACAGAACATATGACTGAAAGATACTCTGTGTTTGTTCATTAGGCTGTTTCTTAAGGAACATTCTGCGGTCACCCAGTGATTGCATAAAGACAAAGAAAGCTTCAAAAGACAACAATGATGAGCCTCCAGTACCCACGAAGTCTCAGAGCTCTGGCTGTACGACAAACCCTGTGGGGACTGGCAGTCGTACCCAGATGAATATTAGCCCTGTTCTTTGGATTTCAGTCTTCAGATCAGTCCTTGTCTTTGATCCAGAAGTGTTTAAATACACAAGTGGTCGTTCTTAAAATGAAGGTTCATCCAAGGGTTCTTTTAGGAACGATGATTATTCGATTAGCTGATCAAAAGACGAACAATCAGCACCTATTTTGATATAGATTTGTGGTTTAACTTAATAATTCTCCAGCAGCTTTCGACCATTTTCGGGTTCTAACCTCTCAAATGTGAGTTTGATGCCTTTCTTTGTCACGTATAGCCTGGTACCTTTGGAACCAAAAGCAACGCCTCAGACATGGTACCTAGACCCCTGGTCCTTTTATCGTTTCCACCGCAAACAGTACTCTTAAATGTGGGCAGAGTTGTTGTCACTCACTGCTCCGTCCAGTACTCGCTGTATTTCCTCATCACCGACACAGATGGAAGTCTGCACCTCGTTTATCGTCCACAGAACGAGGCTGCACACCAGAACAAAATAGAACAGGCTGCAGTGAGAGTCTCTCTCCATGGGATATTTAAAAATAGCAGGTTTGTGCATTTAGTCCTTCTCAGGCAAGCTCAGGGGTTTAGTGTTGCTGTAGCCCACAGGAACAACGCTCCACAACGCTTTTTTTTCCTCCGTCCCGGTCGAAATTAATAAATATAAACACTTGAAGATCCACTCATTACTAAAAGTGTACGTCATATAAAAACCAAAGTAATGGTCACAGTTGTCACAGTGAAATTTAAGGTGTGCTGATGGATTCATCGTCAACTCATGCATTTAGTAACATTACAAGTCAACATTCCACCTTAAAAGTCGCCGGCAGTCGGACCAGTAAATGAAGTTTTTTTTTTTTTTCTCAGACTCCAGCTGCTGTGAGAGGCAGCAAACATCCTTTCATTTTATAGTCACAGTTTACTAATAAAACTCTCCACAGTATGAACAGTGGTTACATGAGCCTCAAAACCAGACTGTGTGCTAGGTACCCCAACAGAGGGGGGACCAATAATGGGGACAGTACGGAACGGTTCCATTGGTTCCATCCACGACTTTTCACAGTGGAAAAGTGTACCAAACTGACCCGCACTGCTCAGTGGAAACAGGGTTTATGAGTATCTTTGGGGCTGTTTTTCCAAGTAAAGCAAGCACTTTGAATACATCTCCTTAGTCTGGGCAAAAGGCATTTTTCAGTATTTTTCTGACATTGTATAGACAAAATAATAAATCAAATCATTGAAAAATAACAGATGGATTATTTAATAAAGAAAATAACCATTAGTTCCATGTTTGGTTGCCAAAGAGCTTTCAGTAAGCACCTCAAAGCTTCTTCACCTTTAACAGTCTACAGAAAAATAAAACACACGTAACCACCGCTGTTAAAGAAGTATTTCTAATTTCTGGAGGATGACAGCAGAGCAACTCCTCTGACGATTTGCAACCACTTTTCGATGAATATTAGCCCTCCCTAATAAATCTCTAATATTTTCCCCCTGAGGTTTGCACGTGTCTCCCACACAAAGCGGTGCACTCTGACATGTATGGAGCATTCCTTGAACACACTGCAAAGAGTTTGTGTGCATTAAGAGATCATATGACCATTAAGGGATAGAAAAATGAATCTGGTACCTGGTTAAAGAGCTCCTTATACAGCATGTTTGACTTCTCCAGCTGAGACTGCAGGTCAGCCATTTCATCTGTGTCCCACGATGTTACACTGCTTTAAAAGAAAGGCAGGCTGTAAATATTGTGTTGTAAAGGAAAGCATGTAGGAGTGGAACACAGTGTACAGTATGAAAGTGATGGGAGATGAAGGGAAATTCAATTCTCTTTATTCAATGCCCTGTGAGAGTCTTTTTTAACACTCCAGACCTGATTTTTGGTAAAAGATTTGCAGCTTCATCATGTTGATAAGTTTATTGTATGTTGCATTCGTCTGTCTGCTTCCTCAACCCGGCCTCACTCTGAAGTCGTCGAAATTAGGCGCTTGGTCAGGGACATCCAGCGTCAGACACCTACCAAAAAAAGCTGTCCTTTGACGTTGGCATGACACACAGCCGGTCGCCATTTTTGTTGTCCAACAACCACCGACTTTCACCTGAGAGGCCAGTGTTCGCCTCTTGTAAAATTGTAAAGCCAAACCGTGTTCTTTTTTCCTAAACCCAACCACATGCTTTTTATTGGTGAAGGAAAAAACGTTATTTTGCGTTGGTATACCAACAAAGTGCTTTTATTTTGAAAGAGACCGAATGCAAACTGTACATTTCCTGTGAAGACAGTAGTGTATCTTGAAAGAAGACAATATATGTAAGAGGCAGAAGTTGACACAGTGTCCAGAACATCAACAACCAACACACCCAGGGTACCCTGCTCGACATATCTGGAAGTGGAAAGTCCATGACCAAATGTCAATATGTGACGAGATCGGAGTGAGAGTGTGTTGGCTTCCTTACCTGTCGCAGCACTTAGTGTCCTGCAGAGGATAGAGGACGTTCTGTGTGGGACTGTCATCATGTAAACTCTTCTGTAGTTTCTCAGCCTTCTTTTTCAACATGATGACCTGTCGCAGCAGAGCGTCTCTCTCCTCCATCAGGCAGTCTTTGAATCTGCGATTTAAAGAAGGTTTAGACTGTGAGACAGATATATATAGAGATATGATAGGGAGGCTATGGTGCATCCCATTTGCATCGTGTTCCCAGGTGGAAATGTCAATTGGAACGCCCTCTCTGTCATATTTCTGACTCAGAAAGCCGGAGGAACCCCACCAACCCCAACCTCAAAATCCAAGATGGCTGCTCCACGCATTAATAGTAGTAAAAGCTGTCGTAATAAACTGTTAATTAGCACTTCTGTCTTATTTGTGTCTCATTAAATCAGTTATACACACAGTACTGTCCAACTTCTGGATTTATACTCCTGCATCAAACAGATGTTGTACCTACAGCATAGGCTCTGCTTCGACACAGAGGCTACGCTGTACCCTACACTATAGCCTGTCATGCACCTCCCCAGAAATGTAACTACATGTCACGGTGACGCAGACCTCCTGTTTATTTCTGTAAGCTGAAACCATTTCCCTCAGTGGAAACAAAGCTTTTATTTACTTTAATTTCACAGATAAGAAACAATAAATTTTGAAGACAATAAAGCCTCCACAAAAATAGCACTTTAAGTCTTGTGTGTGATTTATCCTGGCTTCATATGAGCAGAGGAAAAGCCACGTATACGGACAGACGGCTCCGTCCGTATCCGTATTTAACGTTGAGCATAAATGGGCCTTAATACTGCAACATCTACATCGCAACAGAAAAAATGCCAAAGACTTGTGCTAATAATGTTAGCATGTTGTATTTGTTTGGAAAACATGTTTAGTATAAGACAGTTGTTTTGTCAGTGAACCTTGTGAGTTGTAATGGAGCTCAATTTTGTAACTTTACCTTTGTTAAATGTTGCTGTTGTCCCTGGCTTCATATGAGTAGAGGAAAAGTTTGCTAGCTGCTAGGCTAAATGTAAAATGCCATAGACTTGTGCTAATAACGTTAGCATGTTGTATTTGTTTGGAAAATGTGTTTAGTATAAGACAGTTGTTTTGTCAGTGAACCTTGTGAGTTGTAATGGAGCTGAATTTTGTAACGTTACCTTTGTTAAATGTTGCTGTTGTCCCTGGCTTCATATGAGTAGAGGAAAAGTTTGCTAGCTGCTAGGCTAATTTATACAATGTAAAATGCCATAGGCTTGTGCTAATAATGTTAGCATGTTGTATTTGTGGGGAAAATGTGTCCAGATAAAGACGAATCTGTGAGTTGTCACACAGCACACAAGTATAAATGGCCACAACGGCGTGGGCTACATGCGTAGGTTCTGCATAGAGCTGACACCCAAGTATAAACCCGCCTTAAATCTGACACACTGTTCCTGTAACCCACAGGTATGACTGGTATCAATATGTCATCAAATCTGCCTACCATCACCTCCAAAACTAATTAATTATAACTGCATTGTTTCAGCTGTATAAGGTGTAAAACATTCTTGTCAGTGACTTCTTGGAGTCATTGAATAAACAGATTTCCCCAAATGTTGAGCTATTCCTTGAAATTTCATTGGCATGTGTAAATACCTGACATTACCTTTTTCAGAATAGGCCCGCCATGTTGAACTGAGTGAGCAGAGTACAGACAAAACACAGATACAGCAGTCGCTCATGTGAAATAACCTCCATCCGTCTGACATCCATTGTTAACAGTGTGCTCATGTCGTTATTAGAAAGATGTTTTTCAGGGCTGTGCGTGTCGTTTGAAGGCGTGGAGGGAAGTTTTCAGATGCTGTGTTTGATTGTAAAAGTTCAGGGAGAACCCACTGACCTCTTGACACAACACATCCAGTAGCGCTGCTGCTGACAGAGCCACTCAAACTGCTCGGCTGTCCCCTGTAGTTTCCTCAGACTCCCCTCGTTCTCCAGCTGCAGCTCCCTCACCTCAAAGACAAGAAAACATCACTTCATATTTCCGTTTTAACCAGGATGAGATTAAGACAACAAGAAAGCAGGAAATGATGATTGTGGCATGTTTGTCTGGGCCCAGATATAGATGAGAAAAAGACTCTTGAACTCAGTGCCGTCATCTGGAAAGATGAGCAAATGCAACAGTCGGACTCAATCTCCGACTCCCAGGACTTTGACAATAACTCACCGACTCTATCCACCGCAAATAAATGTTCTCATTAAGTTTTTCAGTGACAGTGCGGTGTGCTGTTTTGTTCTGTTGGACGTGTGCAGCCGTCTCGTAGGAGAGATAATTGTAGAGCTGGATTGTTTGCTGTTTGATGGACTGGTTGAAAGCGAGGCCAGGAAAGGAGTGGGTCTTTGAAGCCAAGTGTAAATAAAAAAACCCTGACAGTGTGTAGGAATGTTTCACTAATGCCCAGACGCCACACACATTCACACAAACCCAACGCCAGAAAAACATCTGAATTAGTGCGTTCTCTCTGGGGTGGCTGTAGTTTGTCAAATTTGGCCACAGCACATAAATTTGAACCTTGAGGTTTTATGTTTCATGAAATTAATTATTCAAAATGAAGCAGCAGACTTGTTATTCTGGGTTTTTACCTGGCGCGCTGACACGTTGACCCAAACTAGCCTGAGAACAGTGTTAATCCATTACTGGTGATGGGGGGAAGCTGGCAGGAGGATGTTGTGCTGCATTATTTCTGCAGGAGTTGGCTGCGAGCTCGACGAAGAGAAATACTCCACATTCATTATAAAACCATTAAAAGTCCATTACTTATCTATTTATGTTCAACCAGAGAGCAGCAGAGCAGAGAGGAAACAAAGAGTCCAACCCTGACATCTGCTGGACACAAGTCACATTACAACCTCTGAGCAGGAGGGACACGACAGCATCTGTAGGCTGGTTTTATACTGAGCTGTTAGATAACACTGGTGCATGTTTAATGTTTGTTGGTAATTAATTTGTTTAAATGATCTCATCTGGGATGATTATTGTTTATTGTTTATTCAAAGATCCCCATCAGAAACACATGAATGTGCCTCTAGTCCAGGGGTGTCCAGGGGTGTACATGTTAATAATGTTTATCTATTTAATAACAGATGATGGACAGCCTGAGATATCTTTAAAAAAAAGTGAAATTTCAACAGTAATTCTGAGTCTGTCGATATTTTCCCATACATTTCCACTCTTTCTTAGTAATGCTGGCATCCCCACACCAAACTAAGGTGGAAGCTATTGAGGAAGCAGGCTAAGTTATCTCCTGCCTCACAAACCATTTACAAATCTAAACTTCTGGCCGTACCTCAGCTGCAGGGTTCCACCAAAAGTGTTTTAAAATACAAGTCTGATACACATTCTTTTGTAATGAAGCTGCTGGTTGACAATATTTTGCACAATGTTCAGTATCTTTAAATATGACCACAGTAAGTATTTATTGTATTTTCAGAGAACTGTGTTCTGGTCAGGGTGGACAAGCCTCTGAGCAGCACTTTACATGAAGTAGGCTACTTATTGAACCTGCTCCTGAGAGCTGCACATCTTAACCTTCACAACTGCTTAAGTATTAGGTGTGCAAAGTCATCTAGTCGGCCGGATTGGACCCTTTGGAAGGGCGGCTCTGGCCTGTGGGTCATATGTTTGACTGCCCTGCTCTAGTCTTCCTGGGGTCCTATACATTAAAATACAGTACAAACATGAAATAAGAATACAGATAAATTAAGATCTTAAAACAAGATAGTGTAATCACAGACTACACCATAATTCAACATCCACAATCCACAAGCTGAGTGCTGGTTCCATTATACTGAAGAGAAGACAGACATCTCTACAGCTGATATCTCCAACACTCGGCAACTCACACCAAAATAATTTAGATTGATAAATAGTACTACAGGTAAAAGGAAATGTTTTTACATTTTGGGGTGAAGTGTCCCCTCAAAGATGGCGATAAGTGGACACATCATTTATTTAGGCATTAAGTGAGTAGTTTACCCCAAATGTGTGTTTTGAATAAAGCTGAAACTATTAGTCAATTGGCAGCAAATTATCTGGCAACAATTTTCAGAAGTGAAAAAGAAAGGTATTTGGTTTTCTCAGTCTTCTGTGATAGTAAATGTAATATCTGCGGCTCAGACAAAACAAGCTGTTTAAATATGTCAATTTATGATTTAAGAACTTGTGGCGGGCATTTTTCATTACAATATGACATTTTAACGACCAGACAATTCGTTTGGGAGATAATGGGCAGATTGGGAGGTTTGATTAGTTTTGATTTTTTGATTTTTGGTGATGCAGAAAACTTAGATATTGGCTTTTGATTAGAGGAGCTCCACTTTAGCTCTGACAGGCAGAGCTGTGAAAAAGCTCTGACCCAAAATGTGTCAGAGCTTTCTGTTTCTCACCTCCCTCTGATGAGCGGAACGTAAATCCTTCAGCTTCTCTGTCAAAGTTCGGTTGGTGTCTTGTAGCTCCTCCAGCTCCACCGTCTTACTGTTGGTGACAAAAACAAGAAGATTTGACCTGTGTGTACTTTACCTGAAGCTAGTTTAATTTTACTAGAGAAGAGTTGTATCAGTGTAGCTGTCAGCATCATGTTTGTGTGTTTCAACTTTATTTATAAAGCACCTTTCATACAGGAAATGCAGCTCAAAGTCCTTCACAATAAGGGCAGTATACACTGAGTGCTTCACATGAATATAAACACAGTGAACATAAAACAAACAAGACATTTAAAACCTGTTTAAAACAAGGTCTTCTCAAGAGTTAACCTCACTGCAGTTATCGTCTGTGTCAGGTACGGCCCTCAGCTGCCCCAGAATCTACCACCCAGCTGTGTCACTGTGGATCATATAGAGCTCCAACTGACCTTTAATTGACTTTATATAATGATTTTTACATTTTGGCTTTCTTAATCAAACTGCATCCATCTGATCTCTTACATTGAAACACAAAAACATCTTTTAAAAAAGCTGTTCAAGATTTGCTCAAACGGGCCTGACATTAAATATAACACCAATGAGATAAAGTGTGTAAGAAAATTAGTATTTCCTGAATTATCTGGTGTTGCTCTTAAAGTGTGTAATGACATTAAATATCTTGGCCATTATATTCTCAATGATTTATCTGATGATGAAGATATCCACACACAGTGTCACAAGTTGTGTGCGCAAGCTAATATGCTAGCTGGAAAATTCAGTATGTGTTCAGTTAATGTGACCAAGACCAGGTGCTCAAGGCAGCTGTGGAACCAGTCACCACAGCTATTAAGTCCAGTAAACACCACCCTAGGAAGAAAAATATCTCTCTCCTCAAAGCTGGAGAGAAACCCCATTTCTGACCACAGACAAGACCGTGCCGACTGGCAACTGAGAGTGGATCTGTGGTACCCTGATCATATCGAGGACACGAGACTTCACCCAGATCGTCTTCTCAGGCTCCACCAAGCAGGTGATCATGTGGGAGCTGTCTGAGCCCTGGGAGGAGCACATTGAGGAGGCTCATGAGAGGAAGCTCGTCAAATATCAAGAGCTGGTGGGGCAAAGAGTGGCCGCAGCTGTAATGAGGAGGGCCATACGAGCCATTACTGAAGCCGCAGAGGAAGCCGCTCGGTGGCTTTAGATAAAGAGGGCAAGCCCGTGGATTGCTGCAGCTGGGATGCAGGCCGAGACTTGATCAAACCTGGATGGGTCACCTGGGTGAGGGGGTCTGATGTTGAAAGACCTGAAACCTCCTGTGACCCCAGGAACGTCACAGATGGTGCTCAGCGCATCCTAGAGATTTATCTTGAAACCTATAATTTAATTTCTTTAGCCAATGGGGATGAGAAGAAACGAGCAGAACTTTAATTTAAACAGTCACTGGTTAAATTACTGAAAGGATGATGATGACTACTGTTCATTTAAGGAACATTATTTTATCTAAAAGCTCTTTAAGCACCAAACAGTCAAATATTATATTCAAACTGAGACTTAAAGCCCTTTAATCTTTACTGTTTTTCCAGGTGTTTCTTCCACAGATCTTTCTGTTCATTTGGATTTCTGTTTCCAACCCTCCGTGTCTCTCTCTACTCTGAGATTCATTTTCATGATCGTATCAATGATTTTAATGTTAATAAGAATTTTAAAGGTACATGTAAGAAAAATTTAAACATAATCCTTCAGATTTCTTTCAGCTTTTTGACTCACAGGCTGGATTCATAACATGATAACGTATTCTGACAGTAAGCCAACTCTCCACTGGGATTTAAAGTCAGCAGATTGAGACATTTCTGCTGACTTTAACATCTCAGGTCCGAACTGGATGTTTTCATTCAGTGTTGAGAAACAGTTTGAGATGAAGTTCCGCAGGTGACAGCTTCGCTCGGCTTCGGTCTGCTGGAGATGGTAATTAAACATCAGTAGGGAGGTTTTTATTATCACTTTGAATTGTTGTTTTTAAGTCTGCGGCCTTATCTGGGTTAACGTGTGTTTTTATATGTTGTTAGGTTTGAACAGCTGGGTGGAGTGTGGAGGAATGTGTTCAAATCAAACCATCAACGATTCAACATGGTGAAGGAAAACATGGAGGTTACCACAGACGTTTTGTCAGGTATTTCCTCCAGAAATCAGAGCTGTGACAGGTCCCCGTCTGAAGCTCAGTGAAAGTTGGTGTTACGATTTTAACTGACAACTTGTGAAGACTTAACTTGAAGTTAAGGCCACCCACACGAAGTGACTACCACCCAAACTGTAAAATAATATCACTTTTCTGGAGAAGATATACTTTGCTTGAGTTTCTATGACACATATTTAGTTGGGCTGCAAGTAAAGATCATCATTATTTAATCTGTTAATGAAATCACAAAATGAGAAAAGAAGTCCTACTTGTGCAGCTCCTCCTGCAGGCTCTCCGCCAGTGCATCTCTGTGATGGGCCTCAGCGTGCAGCTCCTCCACCAGGCCCTCCAGCTTCACCTCGGAGCTCTGCAGACACAGCAGCTCTGAGCTGACCTGCTGCAGGAGCTCTTCGTCCCGGGCACTCGCCTCCACCAGCAGGACCACACGCTGCTGCAGCAGGTCCACCAGGTCCTGCAGGACACACACGTGGACACTCAGACCTTTTTGCAGAATGTTTTTACGTAACCAAAATCTTTTTCATGGTATTCAGTGTCAGGTTTTAAACTATTTTTTGCTAAATTCTTTTCCTTACAGAGTGTAATAGCTTCATCTCATCTGATACAGGTGCTTATATAAAGGTAAATGCACTCGAACATGGACAAAATGTACATACATGGCACATGTTTACCATGATTACTAATCTTATATGACTCAGTTCGTCCTGACCTTTTAAAATCTCACTGGAAACATCCCGATTGTTGCATTATTATCTTGTACAGACAGCACAATTATTTCAAACACAACTATAGGTCAAAGAGTTTGTGGCAAGCCAGAATCTGCACCATATCATATCTATGTGTGGAAAGTGAGTGAGTCACTCTCCAAATCCTTAACAAATATCATTGGGATGTTACTGTGAAGCAGGATAAATATAAGAAGGTGAAAGGTATTTAGTGAGACGAGAAGAAGAAAACACCCTTCTTATGCCACACAAAAGTAACTAAGTTTTATTTTGAGTTTTCTCTGGTATTCGCCTCTAAAATTATTGAAATAAACCAGAGAAAAGAATGAACTGCCCACAGCTCACAGCTCATACCTGTACAACCTGAGTCGAGGAGCCAAAACCCCCGAAAAGTTTGGCAACCTCTGCCAAAGCCTCTGCATTTACAGTATGTTAACACTGGCACTTACTGTGAGCCTAATTCCAGTGTAATTTCAGTAATTGCAGCATAGGTGGCCGCTTGGTACGGTCATGGCTTTGTGCGTTCAAATTACGGGATTGTAATGAGATTAAATGCTACAAGTTCTGAATTGGACAGACGTTGACCTTCAGGTAAGTGTTTCCCCACAGGACTCTAATCACCACACCAATGTTTGAGCTGAGTGTTGTTTCGGGAATCAGGATTTGGTGAAAGACGTTGTTCATAGTGACGAATTATCAGCAAACTCTGCAGCTGTGTGGAGCCTTTTAGCTTATTTGAGCTAATAGTTTTGGTTTTAAGGCACATTTACTTTATGTTTAATTCCCAGCAGAAGCATGAAGCTTTTCCAGCTGACCAAGCTCGTTAAATTCACCGCACCAACACCAAACAGCTCAGCGTCAGAGCCTGTCTGGTGAAAAAGTGAAACATTAGAAGTTAAAGAGCCAGATGTTGTTTTCTCAGGAGATGGTGGAGACCAAATACAGAGCAAAACATGAGTGTGAACATTGAAATTAAAGGTTCTGTATGCAACATTCAGAGCATAAGTATAGCAGCAAACGGCTGTTTGCTATGTAATGATAGAGTGGTGTAAAGGTGTCCTGAGCAGATAATCACGTCACGCTCCCTCTGTGTGTGTTGTAATCCCAGCTACTGAAGAATGCTCCAAGAATGAGTCCTAAAACTCACATATGTTAGCATTTTACCACTCATGGTTCCCTCATCTCAAAGTCAGTGGGTCTTTGGTTGGATGCCTGAAATAAAGTCTGTGGTTTACACAAGCTTAAGAGACTATAACGTTTTGTTCTACGACATAAATATGTCAGTATATACCCCACTCATAAGCTTTGATGCTTCTTCATATTTTAAAAAAGTTGGATGCTAACAAGTTGCTAAATGAGACTACGGAATGTTGCAAATGTCCTCGCTGTGAGACAAATAAAGGATTATCGTCTTGTCTTGTCATGTCTTGCCTTGTCTTGCCTTGTCGTGTCGTGTCGTGTTGTGTCTTGTCTTGTCTTGTCATGTTTTGCCTTGCCTTGTCTTGTCGTGTTTTGCTTGTCTTGTCTTGTCGTGTTTTGCCTTGTCTTGTCGTGTCTTGCCTTGTCTTGTCTTCTCTTGTCTTGTCATGTTTTGCCTTGCCTTGTCTTGTCGTGTTTTGCTTGTCTTGTCTTGTCTTGTCTTGTCATGTCTTGTCTTCTCTTGTCTTGTCTTGTCATGTTTTGCCTTGCCTTGCCTTGCCTTGTCTTGTCTTGTCTTGTCATGTCTTGCCTTATCTTGTCTTGTCTTATCGTGTCTTGCCTTGTCTTGTCGTGTTTTGCCTTGTCTTGTCTTGTTGTGTCTTGCCTTGTCTTGTCTTGTCATGTTTTGCCTTGCCTTGCCTTGTCATGTTTTGATTGTCTTGTCTTGTCTTGTCTTGTCTTGTCGTGTTTTGCCTTGTCTTGTCTTGTCGTGTCTTGCCTTGTCTTCTCTTGTCTTGTCTTGACGTGTTTTGCCTTGCCTTGCCTTGCCTTGCCTTGCCTTGCCTTGTCTTGTCTTGTCTTGTCATGTCTTGTCTTGTCATGTCTTGCTGTGTCTTCTCTTGTCTTAGAAGATCATCACTTCGAGCCGCGCTGAACACAGCTTTACAGTCTTATTATGGTGGTGACGTTAAGTCATGTGACTGTTGTGTAGTTCATTTATAGCCTAACGTTAGCATTTTACTTCTGGCATTTGCATTTAGGCTTCAGTAATCACAAAAGCAGTGTTCATTTGTGAAGATTATCTTGCTAAACCAAATGTGTTAGTATCATAAACGTTTTTTTGCCACAGATCTTATTTTTTGGCAGTAATCCATAATCCAATGGACAAATCCCCACAGGCGTTCTGACGAGGGAATCAGTGCGATGCTAACTTCTGTGTCAACCTACAGAAAAACGTCGTCCCAGGAGCACTCTATAGGGGTCGAACCTAAAACAACAGTTTCTGGGTTCATCACATGATGCCTTGGGGCCCAAAACGACTTCTTCTGTAGCCAGTATCTCACTATCACTATCCTCATTCATATTTTAAGAAGCTACAAATTATATTCAGTCACAAAATAAACCTGAAAAGCTGCAAATCAGAACAAAGTACAGAGAGTTGTTGCATAGAGATGATACACCATCTCATATAGTTGCATTGGTGTGAACCGGCAGGTTTTTAGAATGTTGCAGAACAGCGCATTGCAAATAGCTGCCTGTTTCAACTCGTCTTTTTTGCAAATCTTTAGTATAGTATAATGTGAGGTTATTTTTGTTCAAAAACAAATGTCATCATAAGTATAAAGATAAATGACCCCCCCACTATGTTATAACTCAAACAATAAAACTATTTCTTTCCTATTCATGATCTGCTCACCTGTTGCTGGTTGATCCTGCTGATGAGCTGGTCCTGTCTCATTCTGAGCTCCATGTTCAGCTGCTCCTGGTGGACGAGTCGAGCGTTCGCAGCCTCCAGATCATTCTGCAGCTTCCTCTCCCTCTCTCTGGACAGCAGGAACTCCCTGTCGAGCAGAGCTGCAGCCACAAACAACAGACCCCAGTCAGGTTCTGACCGCTGAACCGTAGCTGTAGATGATTTTCATTAGAACAGAAGATCTGCTGAATACGAGCCACATGGACGTGTTTTAAAAAAATAACCATAAAACCATAAAATAACCATAATGTTTTAAACCACAGCACTTTAACTGTAGGGTTGTGTGTCAGCTGCTGACATCTCTGGCACTGAAATACTTTCCTCTCCCTAAATCTCATCACTGTACTTGTGTCCCTGATACTTTTCACACACACTGCTCTTGGATCTTGGCTCTGTTTGCTGTCCTCGTCTCTAACTTTATTGTCCACGTCATGTTTAGTTGATAAAGGTCAGACGGCTTTTTTGAGAAATTCTCTTTTTATGGCCTCATTTCTGCAGAAACCAAGAACGGCTGTTCCTGTGATAATTTTTTCAATGCCCTTATCTCGAGATCACGAGTGAATTATTTTATTATCTTTGAAAAAAAGGGGCTACAGAAAACAAGCTTTGTTATCTTGAGATAATCAGCCTCTTAACATGAGAAAGTTAATCTTTTTTCCTCTTAAGACCCTGAAGTCCCACTGGACAAAACTCCACTAACATCTGGCCCTTTCATTTAATGGGAAAGGCTACAGTTGGCATTCACTCCTGTATAAATTGACTCGCAAGTACTCACAGGTATTTATTGGCTTCAATTCCGAGCAGCAGTGATGGAAATACAGCACTTGGAAGGACTTGCTAATTTTAGCCGCTTTGCCAGCCGGATGCAATGGCGTGCTGCTACAGAATAGCATCTGCCTGCGTCTAAGCAGGGTTCAAACACTGATTCAGATTTAGTCTGAAAAGAGTTTCAGAGAGTCTGGATGAGTAAGAGACACATAAAAGAAGTAACCACCGTAACATTTTCACTGGCCTCCATGTTGCTTTGTGCTCTTTACTAACCTGTTTTCTGGCATGTCCATGTTAAATGTGACACACCTGGAAAAAGTTTAAAAAAATAACAAAAAAAAAAAACAAAAACAGAAAGGCATAGTCTGGTCTACCACCAATGCAAAAGAAGTCTATGGCCTATTTTAATGCATTTCCCAGTGTTTTAAAAACCCACATACACCCTCTAATTTTTTATTAGCCTAGCATTAGGCTAATAATACCTGATTTCCACCAAATTTGGCACGTTTCCGGGTTTTTAAATCACTGGTAAACGTGTTCAAAATAGCTGATACACTGCTTTTCCATTGCCAGTAGACCAGAGATGTTGCTGCGTTCAAATGGAACTCCAAAGTTTGTGGTTACGACGGGGGAAGTTGTGTTTATGATGTCATAAAGTTGGAGATCACAGAGAATTTGGAACTGCCCATTGGTCAGACAGCCCATTGTTCCGACCATATTAAACCCATTGTTCCGAAGTCCCGTTGTTTCGAAATCATCATGATGCCCTGTGGTTAAGGTCTGGTTAGGTTTAGGAAAAGATCATGGTGTGGGTTAAAATGAAAAAGAAAGTGACAAACACATAAGCCGTGAGCCTGCTCCGCCTCAAGCCTTTCCCAGCTGACCCAGAGCCGGTCGCGGCGCACCATCAAGGCAGAAATACGCCCGCCGGGAGCCGTTCAGCACCACTGACTGTCGGACTAATGGGATGTCGGACCAATGACATGGACCCCAGAGAATTTCCACTTACAAGGTTGTGAATATGAACTCTTCTTGTAAACGCGGTAAACACGACCCCATCTGAACGCAGCCTGTGTGTACAGCTCAGCAGATGAATAGTTTTTTCTGGTATGACAAGTTCAATGGCACAGACAGGCTGGACACCAGAAAACAGGTTAGTAAACAGTAGAAAGCAGCATGGAGGCCTGTGACAATGTTATGGTTGCTTCTTTTTTTATATCTCTTACTTATTCAGTGACTCTTTGCTGACTAAATCTGCATCGATGTTCGAGTGCTGCTTGGGCAGAGACAGATGGTATTTTATGGCGGCCTGTCATTGCATCTCGCAGGCAAAGGAGCTAAAATTAGTGCGTCCACCTGGGTATCATATTTCCATCACTGCTGATCAGAGTTGGAGCCGACAAATACCCATGACTACTGAGAATTATTTGACCCGGGTGTGAATGCCGATTGTAACCTTTCCAATTCAGTACAAAAGCCAAATGTTAGTTTGTGTCAGTGAGGACGTTTATGTGCAGTGGTGAAAGGGCTTTGTGATATTCATCAGAAATCAAGAGGGGGGGCAGAGGCTCTGTGTGCACAAAAGGGCACCGTGTTTCCACTTCATTACCACAACACCTGAAGGTGGGAACAAAAAGTCTCATTGTCCCAAATATTCCGGCACCAGTGCTTCAGTCAAGGTCTAGAGGTAACTATTAGCCCACGCCTCGTCATTTAAGGAGAAGGCTGAAATCAGGTGTGATCAAATGAACCAGATGCTCATTTTGAGTTCACCATAATTATCCCATGATCTCAAGAAAAGACAGGAAGTAGTTTTATCTCGAGAAATTAAGTTTTTGTTTTTTTAAGTCATGAGGCTCACCTCTCCTGAAACATGTTTGAAACTAATAGAAGACTTGGAAATGAGACAAAAATTATTTCTGCTGCACAAAATTATGTTTATCTTTTTGACTTTTGTCAAATATGGTTTAGTCTAACCTCTTGAGGCCTCTAAAACATATTCGTTCTTCATTACCCTCAATATTTAAAACATAAAAAGAGTAGAGGACTTTTAGTTTGACAAAGTTGAAAGTCATATTCACCATAAATTCATGCAGAAAATGCACAAATTGGTGTATAAAATTCACCAGAGAGCAAAAATTGAAGTGTTTCATGCTCCAGATTTCCTGGCAGAGGACCCCCAATGCCCCATTTCATATGTGTCCCTCCGACCCCACCTTTTTGCCTTTATTTGATAGGACAGATATGGTCTAAGAGGGATAGAGAGCCAGGGAATGATGTGGCAAAGACATGGCCTCTTGCACATGGGGTACCTGCTCTGCCAGGTGACCTAATTGACGCCCCTGATATCCAACATTGTTTTCTATCCTCATCTTTTTTTGTAGTGTGCATAATGATTGTAGGGTGCTTTGGTGTTGCCCCATACCTCCACACAGTCATTCAGATACACAGGTGATAAATACAGATTGTACAAAGCTTTATCATCCAGAATGTGTTTTGTTTTTACCAGAAGTACAACTCTTCTTCACAGCTTTGCTTGCACATATTTTACAATTGTTTGTCAAGCAGATGTTGTGGTCCAGTATCACACCCCCAAAAATATTTTCAAAAATGCTGTCATGTAACTGTAGTGGTTGTTTTCAGATGATAATCCTGTTAAATATTATTTCCTCCTCATTCACCCTGACGGTATCAAAGCAGTAAATAAAACCAGAGACACTTTTACAGTCAGTGAGGCACAGTTTCACTTTGACGTCATTATGACCTTTGAAAAAAGGTGTGTTATCTGCTGTGGACGATGTGTAGAGGTGCTGTTTAGGGGTTAATCTTACTATTCAGCATGTAGCATGAATCTTCTTTTGGCAGTTATGTTGTTTGTCGTTATATGGCGTGACACCAGATTTAAACATCAACTTCATACATTCACAAATCCAGTAAATAGCAGGAAGTGTGAACTCTTAGATATCTAAATAAAATGAGACATTTCATTAATCAAGTCCTCTGTTGGTTATAGAATCTGGGACTTTGCACTTATTGTTGCCTCAGGTGTAAATAATAAAACTGTGAATTAGAGGAGACAACAACAGATGAACAAGGGCTAACGGCAGTTAAGACGAGACTGATCCAGCACACTCCAGTAACATCTCCGAAATGTAAATGTGTAACTTCACTCTCAAAGGTCAAGCAGCTTACCTTTGTCATGAGCCAGGCGGGTGCACTTGGCCGTCAGATACTGGATCTGACTGTAGTCTTCATCCCTGTGGGCTCGAAAAAACCTCCTCATGCTCATCAGCGTCTTGACTTCTCTCTCCAAACCCCGAACTAAAGCTTCTTCCACCTCCACCTTCCCATGATCCTCTGGGCAGGGCAGGTGTGTCTCACCTGGTCAGATGGGACACAGCGTGCACATTTCCTACAATATTTCACTCTCCCTGTGCACAGAGTCTGTCTGGGAGAAGACTGCAGGGCACCTACAGAGGGCAAGTTTAAGCATTAATCCCAGCTGCTGTTTTCATAACATGGAGGCAAGGTGTGTGTGTGTGAGTTGTGTGTGTGTTCAGACCTGATGTGTTTGGTTGACACCTGGCTCCCTGCTTGAATCAATAGGAAAACTATGACTCATTTTGTGCACAAACTGAAGGTTTAATCTGGCGTTAAATGCAAATTTTGTTTTAGAGTTTCCCCCCCGAGGCATCGAGAGCTGAGGCAGGTTGGGCATGTTGCGTCTGGCAGACAGGCGGGCGTCTTTATAAGAGCAGCCTCAGGTTAGTTCTTTTATATTATAGGACTGTGTGAGAGATTTTATAGAGGAAAATACCTCTGACATTTAATAACATCTTGTTCTTTATACACGAAACATGTTAATGTGTGATGATATGCCTCCTGTTTGCTCCGCACCTGATTTATTTAAAGATACATTTCCACATTAAAATGTCTAAAAACAGCTTAATTAATGTTGTTGAGTTGTTTTCATCCCAAACATTTCCAACAATGTTCAAACCCAGAGAAACCTCTAAGTTTAATCAAGGGCACCGTCTCCTGTCAGTGGCATCATATCCCCTTTGCACATGCATCAGTGTTGAGGCTGTCTGCCAGAAACAGTCATAAATTGACTTTTTATCTAGTTTTAAGACACATTTTTACAATACACTTTTTAGATCAAGGTCATTTTTAACTATATGTTTTAACCAGATGAAAGATTTTTGTCATTGGACGCAAATGTCAGCAGCAGCTCAGCATTAGAAAAATACCGATTTTAAATGTGAAACTGCTGCATTCAGTGTTTTTAGTGGTTTAAATTATAGGGTCCATTTGTTTTGTAGAGGAAAAGACCTCTACACATAATTCGGCTTTCTGTAAAAATCTCCTCAATGTCTGGATCTCAAGTTATCAGAGTAAAAAGCTGAGCAAATGTCAGCGGCACCACGGCTCCAGACTCTGCTGTGCCAAACTGCATTAGAAAAATACTGATTTTTAACATTAAACTGCTTTATTCAGTGATTTACTGGTTTAACTCACTGTGCCCATTTGGTTTGGAGAAGAGGAGACCTCTGTGGATAATTCGGCTTCCTTTAGAAACCTACTGAACATCTGGATTTTAAGTTATCAGAGAGAAAAAGGTGAGCACACATGAGCAGGTCCTGAGCTAGTGGTGAGCCAAACAGCATTGGAGAAACACTGATTTTTAATGTGTAAGTGTTTTATTCAGAGTTTTTACCAGTTTAAATCACAGGGTCGAATTGATTTGGAGAGGAAGAGACCTCTGACAACAATTCAGCTCCCTGTAAAAACTTCCTGAACGTTGGGATATTAAGTAATCAGAGAAAAAAGGTGAGCACACATGAGCAGGTCCTGGGCTTGCAGCCCCAACGCAATGAACCAAACACCGTTGAAGAAACACTGATTTTTAATGTATAACTGTTTTATTTAGTGTATTTGCTGGTTTTAATCATAGGGTCCATTTGTTTTGGAGAAGAGGAGACCTCTGACAATAATTCAGCTCCCTGTAAAAACTTCCTGAACGTTGGGATATTAAGTAATCAGAGAAAAAAGGTGAGCACACATGAGCAGGTTCTGGGCTTGTGGCCCCACAGCAACGAGCTGAACAGCGTAAAGAAACCCCAGAACTGTTTTATGCCATCTTTTAACCAGTCTAACTGGAAACCACTGAAACAGACACCCAGCTTGCATTTGTAGCCAATCTGGTTCAAAAGTTAGAGCCGAAACAATTTGCAGGTGGTGGCCATATTGGATTTTACCGCCATGGTCATCAGAATGTCAATATGTGATGTCCCGATATCCAAATGTCTTCTACATATTGTAAGCTACATATGTACTAAATCTGGTGCTTTAATCACAAAATGAACGACTGTCTTAATTTTGTGAGCTACGCCGCCCCCACCACTGTGTATGATAGGACAGGAAGTTTATCGGTCTGAGTTTCCAGAGACTTTTTCACTGCTACTTATTGAAATTACTAATGAGAAATGCACAGAATATTGTGTAGCTGTATTATTAAGCCTTTAGAGTACAGCAGATAAAAGTGAAGTGATAATATATAACAGCTAAAGGTTTTGGTGAGAAGAAGATGACGAGGTCACACAGAGGATAGAAGTTATTCTTAATATATTCAGTGTAAAGTTTTGTCTCGTTGGTGCCAGAAAATGTCTATAAATGAAACACTGTGATCTCACCTGACTCCTGCTGACAGTGTCTAACTATGGGAGACTGTTGCTGCTGATGCACCTACTGTAAGACACCAGCAGAGGGAGACAAAGGACAGCTTCTCCAACTGACAGAAACGTATTTATGTATTTATTTACCGAATGAGTTTAGTGGTTCCAGATATTTCTGTCTGTGTGATTGTGCTGTGTAGGGGGAGCGATGTCTCCCACAGTTAAGTCTATCAATGAAGACACATTAGGGATCAGTCTTCCCTCTGGAGCCACCACCAGAAAACTATTTCCTTTTTCTTTTTTTTAAACCAGTCTCTGTGTTTCAGTTTAGGTGAACAGTTTCCCATGATGGTCTCAACACTGTTTTAAATTCTTTGCCACCCTGACATGGACACATCTCTGAGGGAAAAATTTAATTCATGGGATTTATTTGTGGGAAAATAAAAACAGTCAACTCTAAATAAGCTCTAAATAAGGTGTGACTATCAATAGGAGTTGTTAAAAACCTCATGCACACAGGGGTGTAGGGTTATCTGGTTTGAAATGACTCAGGTTATGTTTCTCTTATATTTTTTAAACACAAGTCCTTTGTTATATAGATTATATCAAACTGAACATGACGTTATGAGTTTCAAGTTACAAGTTAAAGTCACTTACAGTGGCTTTAGAAAATATTCACTTTTTGCACACTTGTGTTACTTATAATTTAAAAATTACTTTTTTTGGCCATTAACCTACATCCAAAACATATTTATATGGAGGGACAAGAAGTGAAGTCATGTCATCTCTCGAGAAAATGGTCTGAATACTTTTGTCAGTGAGGGATTTGATATTTAATTTCATATAAATGTGTGAACAGTTCTAAAAACATGTTTTCTCTTTGTCGTTATGAGCTTCATAATTTAAAAAATCTATAACAAAAAAAGTTTGAAAATTTCCCAAAGCCAGTTTGCACAGTAACAGGTGGATGATTAACTAGGGCTGTAAATAATGATTATTTCATTGTCGATTAATACGTCAATTTTTTTTTTTTTTTTTGAGTAATCTATTACTTGTTTGGTCTTTAAAATGTCAGGAAATGATCAGTGTTTCCCAGAGCTCAAGATGACGTCCTCAGATGTCTCATTTAACCAACAACCCAAAGATATTCAGTTTACTGTCACAGAGGAGGAAAGAAACCAGAAAATATTTACATTTAAAAAGCTGGAATCAGAGAATGCAACTTTATTTTTCTTCAAAAAAATACTCATACCAATTAATCACTTATCAAATTAGTTGGCAATTAATTAATATTTTGACAGCTGATCAATTAATCAATTAGTTGTTGCAGCTCTGTTGGTAACACTTCACTTTGAGTCCCCCTTTTTAGTATTAGAACGCAATATACAAACTTTATAATGTAGCTGTACACAGATATATGGTCACTTCTTCTATCAGGATGTCCTTGTCCTCTTTCAAAGCTATTTTAAAAACTCATTTTTATAAACTGGTTTTTGATTGGAGGGTTTTTTTTGTGGGTGTTTGTGTCTTTGTTAGTTTTATACATTTGTTAATTTATATTTCCTCAAATTTTTATTCATTATCACTTTTGTTTCAATTTTTAGCTGCATTGAACCTGCTACAATCTTGTAATTGCACTTTGTAAACTTGTTTTTGAAAAGCGCTACATAAATAAAGTCTATTATTATTATTTATATTACCACAACTGTTTAAATCTGTAGCCAAACCTAACTTAAAAACTACATTATAGTGTGTTATGAACCATTTAATAAATGATAATATAATGTTTATACATGCTAAATCAGTGGATTACAGTGAAGTGTTGTAAGTAGTTTAATTGTCAATAAAATGATCCACTAAACTGGTGATGTTGGTGCTGGAAAATCAAGTTGACTTCACTTCAATATGTTTAAGGTTTAAGATTATCAAAAATTACCACTGAATATATTTTAAATTCCCTCCTCCTGTTTTGACTCTTACAGTGGTCTGATGGTCCGCAGTGCTGCTGACCAACAGGACATATTAACTCGTCCATGCTGATGACATCAGTTCAGCTTATTTCCTGTGCATCTCGTGAGCAAGTGAGTGAGCCTGTTTGCCACTCTGATCCATCTTATCACAAAGCAAATGCATCTGTAGTAATTCAAAGGAGAGGATGTTCAAAAATGGCGTTTATTTAAAAAAAAGAAAAGAAAACCACCATGCTGACTTCTGCCTCTTTAACAGAAAAGTTGTAGATAGAAAATGGCGTTGGACATCGACACCAAGCGTCCGATAAATTAAATAAATACAATATCCTCCCAAATCTGTGCGAAACAAAGCATTGACATTTCTCTTGGAACAGAAACACAGAGAAACCCATCCCACAGCTACACACCAGCTCCTGTCACATCAGGGAGTTTGAACGTCAGACTACAAAACAGAGAACATTTGACAAATTGAGCTTAAAATTCATGTCGTGTCACACAGACGTTCACTCCTCAGGAACACAATGTGGAGTTACCCTGCTCGTCCAACCACAGACTGGCTCATACAGACGACCACCAGTGTGTAAATGTTCTGCTCAGAGCATGTTCGGTTAGATTCAAAGTAGTGTTACAGAACAATATGCACAAATCATGTCAGTAGTTTTCAATATTCAGTAACTTAGTTAAATACATTTTTCAAATGGAACTAAAAAGCTGCCATCATTATGGTGCTTTTAATACAATCAGTGCCTTCACTGAGGATGTGATCTCTGGAAGAGCCACGTAACAGACGATAAATAAATATCACAGCTGAGTGTGAAGAAGTGTTAATGCCTATTTGTAGTGATAAAACCCAGACGTCAGTATTTTTAGGTACGGGTTTCCTCAGCAGACTTCCAACACTTTCCACTTCCCATTGTTTTTTTTAATTTACAGAGGAAATAACTGTAGCTCATGAGGTGATTAGCTTAGCATCGAGACTGGAAGCAAAACAGCTATCCCAGATTATGAAACACCCATCAACACTCCAAAGTCGTCGAAATCCGGTGCTTTGGCAGTGACTTGTGGCGACACTGACGAAGGAATCCATCCTTTAACGTCGGCATGATACGCAGCCAGTAGCCGTTATAGTTTAACTACGCTCAGCAGTGTCAGGGGAAACGCTGTGGGACAATAACGAAAGTTAAGGCGGCGAAAGCCCAAGTGGGGCGGACGGGAGGGGTGGTGGATGGGTCCAACTAACATAGACTTTCACCTGTGAGAGCAGTGTTTGTGTCTCGTAAGATTATAAACCCAACCACGTGCGTTTGTTATTGGACGAAAAAAAAAAAAAGTCAATTTGCATTGTTGTACTGATGTAGTGCTTTTATTTTGAAAGAGACTGTGTGTAAACGATAAATTTCCTGTGAAAACAGAAGTGTATTTTCAAAGAAGACAATGCATGTAACAGGCTGAAGTTGACACGGCGTCCCAGAATGTCAACAACCAACACACCCAGAGTACCTTGCACGTGGTATCTGGTCGTGGAAGGTCCATGACCAAACGTCGATATGTGACGAGGTCAGAGTGAGAATGTGTTGCACAGAGATATAAAAATGACAAATTGTGGTTTAAGCACAGTTTAGAACAATTTATGGCGAAAAATTACAATCACAACAATTAATGCAAATTCAACCAATCTCTAGGAGTTCTGCGTGACCTTTCACTTTTGTTTTATCATCGCAACTTTTCCGCAACTTTGACTAGTCATCGTAGTTCCCTTTGAGTTTGCCAGTCGTAACAATCCCCCGCACAACTAAACCAAACTCATTTTTTGTTTTTGGTTGTGATATGAAGACAGTTAATCTTCTCTTCTCCTGACTCTTGACAGAAGAGCGAATAAGGCCCTGATTACACAGAAAGCGTTTCAGCAGCCAGAGGCAGCTTTTTGTAATTGTTTTTAATAAGAATGAAGTTTTTTGCTCGCTGTGTTTGTGTTGTGATGCGCCTCGTGTTTCTGCGCTCTAGGAGTTTTGCGAGAGTGCTCTGCGGAAAAACGCATCATCATTTTTAAGTCATCCTTTTTCTAACTGTCCAGTCGGTTGATTTGAGAGGCGGGTCTTCTGTGGTGGACAAAACAACAAGTTTACAGTCGGTAAACAATGGAGAAGAAACTGGTGGTAGCTGTTGCTGGATACACAGAGCTATACGGCCCGACGATAGACGGCAGGTTGTCAAACTGCCCCTGAGTCATCCTAAAATATGCCTGGAAACGTCCATCAGGGAGGAGAAGCTCCTGGACCAGCTGGGGCTTAAATTTTGAACTATTCCTGTAATGCAAGTTTTATTTATTGTGTGGTTTTAAAGAAGGATTCTGAAAGTGGAAATAATCCTGTGGGACAAAGAGTGTGTCTTACACTTTCATTGGAAATCTGCTGCGTCTGGAAACCCGTGGTAAAAGTACGTTCTGGGCCGACCTACGACACAAAGCTAAAGAATTCATTTAGGTTTTGAAATTATGGGACACAATGAAAACAAATCAACATTAGTCCTCATTAAAAATCACATTGTTGTATCTTCCAGAGAGCACATATTCAAACTGAACCATCCACAGAAACAAACCCCCCAACAAAAAAAAAGACAGACATCTAAAGGAAATGTTTGACCCTCCACTCAACACATCGGCGCTTCAGCGAGGCAGCAGATGCTGAACTCCTCGTTTAGCTCCCACTAATGCAGTTACACAGCGAACAGGAGAGCTGCACCTGACTGACTGCAGCCTACAAGCTGCCAACAGATTACACAACCTAAGGTACAGATTTCCTTCACACAGAAACACTTCAAATCAGACAACATAACTTTTATCATGAAAATGCTGGTGTGAGGAAATGTGACGGCACGTTGCGCCAAATCTGGACCTAATGTGCTTCTAGAGAGAAATACGACAGTAACACTGAGCACAGACTGACGCTGGATGCTTTTACTTTGAAGGAGTCACATTTAAAAGCTTAAGAGCTGTCAGTGACTGCCCGGGCCTCGGGTATAAGTCGGCCGGTTCTTAGCTTGGCTCAGTTTCCAACAAGGCTGCTGTCCTCGAGCTAATCCTACGCTAGCTGGCGGCTACTAAAGGCTTTTCATGCTTTCTTGACCTGACACGGGTGAGGCTTACCCATACACAGAGTGAGGTAACAGCTATCGTATGCAAAATGACACGGTGAATAAGCAGCCTGCATCCTGTTGGCACCTGGGAAATCACCAAGTCGGTTTAATTTGATCTCTGTGGTGATGGTGAGGGCGTTTAAATGAATCCTGTCCTCTAAGTTCAGAGGAAACAAACACTCTGCTGCTCCTGAACATCGTCTCTTTATGATACTTTTGGATTGCAGACATAAAACAAAATCAAAGGGAAAACATGTTAAAGTGAAAACACTTCTATCCAACATGTTCTCACACAGAAAGAGAGAAAGACTGCTGGACTGGTTTACACTAACACATGTAACAGGGTTTAGAAGATGAGTGGTGACAGTAACAGCCCAGCTCTTTCACAAACACTCACTGATCTTTGTGACTGTCACATCTTAGCGACAGTAGCATCACATTAGCAGAAAGCTAATGAAAACTCTGCACGCTAGCAGCTCAGTTTTCACCTTTAACTGTGAGAAAAAATCAACTCATTCTTATTCCCAGGTTGTTAAAAAAGGCGTCTCATAGCAACGCACAGGGCAGCCTTTAGCGTCTCTATATGACACACATCTGGAACACACTGCATTGTGGTTAATGTTGTGAAACGGTTAGAGTTAGGCCCAATCCCTTATCATACTTTTAAGCCAACCCTCTGTTTTTTAAGTGCCACCCTGCCCCTCAGAACAAAATCACAAGGGGTAGTGGTTAAATTATTTCCCTGTGAAAAGGGACAACCTTCTAGACCCTGACACGTCATCGGTAGCTGTCGAAGCTGGCATTTATGTGAATGCAAATATGCCATCTTCTGCTGTGGTGACTTCTCTTACATGGGCTACAGGCAGCCTTCTGTGGTCGTCAGGATGCTCGCAATTCTTTCACACTGTACGTTTTCCAGCAGTTAATCGATCAAACATCAAATAAAAAAAAAAACACTGCTTCATTACCAGGCCACTAGCGTTGCTCTGTAAGCTAACGTTAGCAGCCTGTGCTCCTACCCTGTCAGTCTGTACTGGTATTACAGGAGCAATAACAAGTGCAGTAACCTCACTGCTGGACTTCAGTTATATTTCAGGCGTCATGTGCCATCAAAAGAGGGGAATGCATCATGAAGTGTGTCAAAATGTGGGACTGTCATGCACAAATCAGCAATAATACTGTAATGTTAGCTAGCTAACTAGCTAGTTAGCGAGACATCAGCACACTGGCAGTTTCTTTTGTTATGCTTGTAATAAAGCAACCACAATCAGTAAAACGATAATACAATGGTTATTGTAATGTTAATGGAGAAAATTAATTAGTGGGTTTCTTTAGTTGCCAGTGCAGCCATCTTGCCTACTAAAAAAAAAAACTAAATTTGGAGAGCTATGTAGCCCGAATACTTTACCCTATCCCTCGATTCCAACAACAATCAGGACATCTTACCCCTAGACGTGCGAAGGAGTAAATCGGAGTAGTGAGCTTTAAGTGGTGAAGGCAAGGGGCGTACTGGGATTGGGTCCAAGGCAACAAAACTACTTGGTTAGGTTTAGAAAAATGACCATGTTTTGGTTTAAAATAAGCACACTGGTTATGTAAAAATAACGTTACATGATGTAAATTCAACACATGAGTGACGTCGTTGGGGGTGACCAGTGTAAAAAATTAAAATGGCATTGACTTTTGGTTTTACACGAGACGTAGGTACGCACGTTACGTAACATTACATTATAACAACACTGTCATTTGGTTTCACATGAGACAGGACCTGTGGTCTCCTGGGTAAAATACTTGTTTTGTTTGACCCATCTATTTCACCTCCCTCTCACCCCACACAGAAGTTTTTCTCGTTATAAGACGTCAGTGACTCTCAGCATCAGAAGAGTTTAAACTGGAGTTGGTTAAAAGCCTAAAAAAGGTGCCTTTGGTTTCAAATTGTTGGTATTTGACTACCTGGGGATGAGAACAGGCTGAAAAGATAGTCACAGTTTCAGTCTACTGAGACTCGTGCCAAAAGGAAATGGAGATTTTCCTCATCCTGACTGGTGAAATCTGAGCTTGTGTTGTGCAGATTTTCTATCTGCTTTCTGCTGATTTACACTGAACTCAGCACTTTGACTAGAAACGCACACCCGTCTGTACTGTCAGTGTAGCGACAGCTTCTTCCAGTGTGTCTATTAAATAGAGAAAGGAGCCCAGACAGGTACGACCCCGTCCTTTTGGTCAGATTCAGTCATATTCGACATTCAATTGGATTCTTTTTTTTTTTCACAGATAAAACAAGCAGTTGTTCACCAGCGCTCGTTAGCTTATAACACTCAAAATGAAAGACACAAATGGAGAAAAACTCACAAACACAGAAGAACTAAAATGAGTAAAAGTCCAACTGAAGGTCAGCATTTTCCTTCCCACTTGTGTCAGTTCAATATGATGCAGGCGGTACAAAACAAAAAAAAGAAAAGAAGTATTGCACTGGTTTGGTGTGAGTCTATGGATGGGCGGTCATCATATAAATAACAACAACAAGAACCAAACAGTAATACCATAATAATAATTGTAACGCTAATAAAAACAGTTCAGACTAAGGTCCCCCTCCCGCTGCTGCTTTACCACTGCTGCCAACTGAAGTCGTCGTTGGATCCAAAGACCATGAAGAAGCCCAGGATGGTCCCGAAGATGACTACGTTACCCGTTAGCACAAGCGCACACGCCCCCCAGGCGATCTGTAAACCAACACATTAATAATTCAGGTTAACAAATGTTGTCGCACATGCTGCCAGGCTGCAGCACATATTTAGGCCAAATCTAGTGGGTGTCTGTCGACAGCAACAGTTTACAGACTCAACTCCACACGCTGCTCTACAGTTGTATATTCAGGACACACAGCAGGACGGGACATTAACGGCAGCCAGCAGCTAAATGCTAATCATGTCCTGCTGGTGCATCTGTCTGCTCTGTCAGCTCCTCTGCTATGTGGCCAGACATCATTATTTTTAAGTCTTTTTAATTAAGTGCCTATCTGGTTCTGTTTGAAATTTGTTTGTCACATTAGTCTTTGTGTGAGCGCCATATGGACCCCAACAGCCACATCTGACTGAGTGCTGCTGGAGCTGAAACCAAACCTGTTAGAGAGGAACGATGAGCCTCATTGTCACCGCATCAAAAGATACAGCTGGCAGTTTTCTAATTTTATATTATTGTCATCAAATCACATGAAAGACTACAATTTGCTGACTTCCCAAGTAGGGCTGTGACAGTTTTTATATTAGTACTAAACCAGGTTCATGGTGAGGTGCATGCAGAATATACAGTGTCTTAATTGATGCATGTAATGTGGAACCAAAGTTCACAAGTGCAAGTTCTGCCTGGAAACTTTTACCCGAACACCTTTAGCAACATATGCTGTGGTTAGCACAACAAGCAGAAAGGCATGTGAGTCAGTCACACTATGGCAAGCGCAAATTAAACTCCAGAGCTGAAAGATCGGCCTGCAGGTTTGGTGTCAGCTACAGTGCAACCGAGAGAAAGAGTTGTGTGTAAGACAGGGATGGTGTGTTGGTGTCGCTCCACCGTTGTGGGGTCTTCAATGGAAACACATCCGACATGCTAACACACATTTGAGAGCATCGCCCAGATGTGCCGATCAACAGAATGATAAATATTTAAATATACAGCATTTCGTTTCAACCAAGCATTTTGACTGGACAGGAAGTGTTCCATGAGTGCTGATATTCAGTACAGCTATACATGTATCACTCTGCTTTACAGGTGTTCTGAGGTGTTAATTATGTTAATCGTTAATAAGTCGACATTAAGGGTGGTCGTAACAAACTTTGCACCACAAAATGAAACGTATGACCACAAATAACATTTGAGGTAAATAATGAATGGTTAGAAAAGGACGTAGGGACTGAAAGAAGTCTGAATACTTCACTGTAAATCTCTAGATATGCTCATATGACACCTGAAGATCATGCAGCGTGCTGATTAAGCTGTTAATTCACAGGCATCACACGTATGCAACTGTCAAAACACTCTTTTTTTAACTGGTCCCAAAATAAATGAAGACACACAGATGTAGTCTGAATGATACAAGTAGCTGGTAAAGTGTAGTTTGGTCTCAACTGGACATTAGTTGTGCTGCGGCGCAGACACAAGTCTCTTGCACTCTTTGCAGATGATTTGTTCTCTCCTAAATGTGAAATACTTCCAGAAAACGAATGATGATGATTGATGGAAGGATGATTTTTGTTTAGCCCGTTGTAACATTCAGGAAATTCTTTCACAGGTTGCAGCTGCAGGTGCATGTGTGGCGGCATGACAGCTCCTCAAGAGGTTTGATTTGAGCACAGCGCGCAGTTTTAACACAAATATCTCAGTCGATCGTGTTTATTTAATTGAGGGTAGCCAAAATCGAAGTAACCAGGTGTTCTCATCTTTTTATGTTAACTGTTGAACCTCACAATAATATAGAATATTTCCAAAGTTATTCTTTGTTTCTTTTCTCAACATACTTCATGCTCTGACCTTAGAGTATATAATTGTAAACTCATACTTTGCAGTCTTGGCATCAGATGTCAAAGAGAGTTAAAAAGTGGATGTGTTTAACCAGAACTAACACAGAAAGTTGAGCCCTTATTTTGAACTTCACAGACTTTAAAAATGTTTCTTTTGACTTCAGGTTTCCTGCTCCAGTGGAGTAACCTTACAAAGCTGCAACAAGAAGCTTCTGTAACTTACTACTTCAGCTCTTGCGAAGACAATGGGCAGGCCAAACGCTGAGATGACGATGCCCGTCGTGAGGAAGATGGCCAGCTCTTTGCAGGCGTTACTGGCCGAGTCTGTGTCGTCGACCACCCTCCGCGAGATGCAGTAAGGGATGGGGGAGAGGATGTAGAAGAAGAGGAGGAACAAAGGCCAGTATTTGCTGCAGAGAGAGAAGAAAGAGAGACAGAGAGATAAATATCCACATGGTGTGATGATAAAAGATGCAATCAGCTGAACTGAAGGATAAAGAACTAAACACTGTTCAGCACTCAGCACGTTATTGAACCGCACAGGTGGGAGGAGCTGCGTTTTTACATCTTAACTACTACCTAATGACTGGTTTGTTTTTTAACAAACACAAACACTTACGTCTGGTTATTATTAGAGTTGTGCCTGGCGAAACATTTTACATGTAAATAACGAACTTAACAGAGGATATTTCAGTGAATTTTAAACTGTGAAACTCTATCAGGAGCTGCGCTTTGTCAAAATCCAACCCTATATGACTGGACCATGTGGGAATTTAATTTGAAAGGACAGACACAGGAAGTGGCCACGCTCAGCAGTCAGACAGGAGTCAGGTTACAAACCAATCACAGCCGATCTGTAAATGTTCAGTCTGATAAATGTGGAAAAGTTGATCATGTTAGTGCAGGGCTACCCAGAGCTTTACATCTGTCCCACGGACGATAGGCCTACACACTTATAAACAGCTCCTGGAAGAAGATCAGCTCTGCACTCAGGATTTCAGGTAAACAGGCTGTACGATAAGTGTTAAGGTTGATTAGCAACCTCAGACGCAACCTGCCACCGCAATCTTGAAAGCTTGCACAGAAAAAGACACAAGAGTAGCACCCAGCGCTCAACCTCGCGTTTTCCAGGCGGTTAAAGACACAGCATGTGTACGGCCCCTAATTTCCAGGGCTGGTACCTGCGGTTATTCCACAGGCTAGTTAATAACATGTCGGGCAGGAAATCTAAAGTGTGGGATCATTTTGAGAAGGTGAAGGACGAACCCAAGGTGATATGTAAACTCATCTTCATTGGTCGACTACAAACATGACGTATCATCTGAAACATGGAAGTAGCTACATGCCCATTAGCCCACAGCGTCATTAACAGGCGGCTCCCTCAGTGTGTGATGTAACCAAGTAAACCAAAATATATGGATTTTAAAATCTGAATCAGACTAAGCTATACCATCTATAATAAACAGCAAATACATTAGTATTTCACAGCCTGTACTATGAACAGTAAATGCATGTCTTTAGAAACGTATCTGCTGTATTTTTCAAACTGCAATTTCCTGCTTTTTATTGGCTGACAGTTTCACAGATACTGATTTATCTATGAAAAGCTAAAACTGGCTGATGCGATCAGTCAGGCTCTGCTAATAAATATCACTAATTGATTTTCCTCCCCTACATTCTGCAGAGCTCAGGCTGTCATTTAGTATAATGATAATGACTCCAGTGAAAATGAGATTAGATTACTAGAACCAGATATGAGGGTGTAGCTCGAGGCGTCACATGTAGAGACTGAACAGACAAATCAACTGTATCCAACCGCACAGGAAGTGAGGTGTGCTCCAGGTACACTGCAAACCTGACCAAGCTGTCTTTGGACACAGTCCCATTTGGAGACCTCTGAATTGTATCCTGGATGTTTTGTACACGCAAAGCAGGAAGCTGAACAGTGGCCCCCAAACGCCCTGGCTTTACCTTGTGTTGATTGGTTTGTGGTCATTTTAAAAACTGAGACTTTGTTTGTGAAAATGCACCATTAAGGTAAAATATCCACTTACATTGTGCGTGTTTCTAAGGAGCGTTAGTACCTAAACTTGTGGTCCTGTGTGGTGTAAAATCTAGTTCCAAGACTTTCATAAGCTGCGTCTCAATTCAGGGGCTGCAGCCTTCGAAGGCTGCATTTGAAGACCGATTGCGTCACATCGGCGCGACCAAGGCTGTCCCATTTTGAAGGCTTGATGATCACCAAAATTAGGTGGTGAAAAAATGGATATATCAATATCAGTTATTTGCCAAATACGTTGTTACATATCAAATATCAGCAAAAAATCCAATATTGTGGTATCCCTACTGTAAATGATTGTTATTACCATGCTACTGCCATTGTCATTGTTCATAAAGCGCTGCCAACAGTATGTTATACGATACACAAGAGGTTGACTCTGTCGTGATGCTGGCATGCTATTTAAAATCACACACTGGAGCAGCATGATGCCACCGTTGTTTGGCTCTGTGTGTAACTGGCAGACTCTAGTGTTGTCTGCGTTGTGTTGATATGTAGAGGCTCACACCGTGGATATCTTTGGAGGCGATCGCCGTTTATTCCTGACAGCTCTGACAGCAAGAGGCAAAACAAAATCCTCCATCAATTACAACCATATAAACTCAATCCCCTACACAAATTAAGTGCCCAAAACAAACTTAGAAATATAATTTAACAGCACTAGAACAACGGAAATTACTACCAGAGTAATGTGGCTTACCTCTCTCACGGAGTACAACATCAAAATTGGAGAGGTAAGGTGGAAGACAGCCTTTTATAGGTGGGGTGCACCCAAAGGTGAACGCAGAGGTACAGAAACTGAGTATCAGACGTTCCACATATTGAGTACGGAGGCCTAAGTGTGTCAGGTAATAACAACTGAAACCTTTTTTTGTGTAATTATAATACTTAATGTTAAAAATGTCCATTTGACATTGTTACTGCTGTACAATTGATCCTGTTACATGTGTAAAAATGCAAAGGCAGCATGAAGAAGGGACTTCGTAAACACGATATCTGTATGAAAGTGCTTCTGTCTCAGGTCTGTGTTTGGGAGCCCCCAAGCAGGTTAATCCAGCTCTGCATCCACACCTGCATTTAAAGCTGTAAACCCATGATGGGATCACCCAGGCTGCATCTGAGTGCCAAGTGTGAACAGTGTCCCTCCCACACACACACACTGACAGGCTCACATGGTGTGTGATGGTGGTACTTACTCATACACTGGGAGGGCACATCCTAGCATGAGGAACATGAGGCCAACGGCCCCTCCAAAGGACAGGCTGATGAGAGCTGCAGGGGGAGACAGAGGGGAGGAGATCAACAGTCAGGAGCAGTGTCACATAAAGTAGCTGCTCTCTGTGAATCTGTACCAGTGCATCCCGAGACCCTCCACAGTCACATCGCAGCAGCAGGGCCCCTGGCTACTGAAGCCATCATGTGATGAATCAGCTGATTTCACGTGTAACAGCTACATTTGGAATCTAAGCCTTATTATTAGGGGCTCGTGTTAAACTCTGCAAGCAACACAGTCTTGTGTGGTTGCTTGTGAGCAGAAATAAATCCCGACTGCACATTGCACAGAGCCCAGCATCTCAATCAGCGGCTGTGTAATAACTGAAGTTCAGGTGCGGCTAGCTTTAGCAATATAACGGTAACTACTACGTTATTATGTTATCACACGGAGGTGACGTTAATTACGGCATCATAACGTGACGTTACATGACTGCAGTGTTTCAGCTAACATTAACATGCCTTTAATTGTGTCCGCTGAGTAGCTGCTGCCTCTAACCTGAAGAATGAAAGCTATTGAGCTAATGCTAACGACTATATTGGCCCTGCGGCTAACTACTTCTTCACGTTACCGTTAGCTAGCTGCACGTCACAAACGCATCCGGCCGTCTTCGGGATAATTTGACACAGTTAAATAAATCACGCAGGAATTCAGAGGCTTTCTGGACGAAATGAAACGTGGACATGTCTTACCTTTAATCCCAGCCATTTCTCCTGGACAAAAGCTCGACACGCAGCCCTGACGAATGACAACAGTGTCCCCCTGCTCGGCTCCCGAGTCCACCCGAACCTGCCCGTCGTGCTGCCTTCAAGTACTCCGAGAAAAATCGGAATTATTACAGCCCCACTATAGTATGTGAATGCAACGGTGTCCTGACGTCGAAATGGTTAAAATCTTTGATTAACAATAGTCACTCCTTTTGTTTTTTTGTTTTTTATTAACAATTACAGTGCAAGAGCAGTTCCAAAAATACGTCAGTTTTCCATTCATGCATTTGAAAATATTTTAAAAAGAAAAATTAAAAGTGAAACGACGAGGACACTGATCCAAAAACATTAGAGACAGAGAACCAAAAAAAAAACAAACACACACACACATATGAAGAAAGAAATATTTAAATTACATATAAGGATACTATTCCTTAAATACACCAATCAGCCCAAACACTAAAACAACTGACAGGTGAAGTGAATAAGACTTACTTTATTCGTCCCAGAGGGAAATTCGTTTCCACTAATTGTACATTTACAGAGATCGATCACAAATATCACAGACATCACAAAACATCACATGTTCATTCACAGAGGTGGACACTTAATAATAACATTGATCATCTTGTTACAGTGCAATGTTCTGTTGGGAATTCTTGGGTTCTGACATTCATCTGCTTGCCACCTCACACACTCCACCCACCTGAACACCAGTGCAGACCAGGTACCCCCCCTCATGGCAGCAGCACTCCCTAGTAGCAGTAGCCCCCCAGCAGAACAGTGCACCATGCCACACCACAAAAACTGCTCAGGTATGGCCTGAGGAACATGACAAAGAGCTCGAGGCATTGACCTGGCCTCCAAATTCCTTGGATCCTGATCTGATCAAAACTCTGTAAGATGTGCTGGGACCCCACCTCACAACCCACAGGACTCAAAAGATCTGAAGCCAACGCCCCGATGCCAGACACTGTAGGACACCCTCCAGAGGTCCTGTGTCCATGCCTTGACAGGTCAGAGCCAAATCTGGTCCAAGGAGGACCCACTGTGAATAGGGGATACCTCTGGGGCACCAGCACGTCTCTCAAATGTTCGATCAGATTGGGATCTGGGGTATTTGGAGGCCAGGTGGACCTTTGAGCTCTTTGTCCTGTTCCTGGGTCATTCCTGAGCAGTTTTTGTGATGTAACATGGTACATTGTCCTACTGGGGGGCACTGCCATTGACAAGTGCTGTTGCCATGAGGTTTTCAGGTGGGCGGAGCGCGTTAAGTAGCATCCACATAAATGCCAGGATCAAAGGTTAACCGGCAGAACATTGCACTGTAGCAAGATGATCAGTGTTATCCACTTAAACTTTCTGGTTTCCTTCAGCAGGTCCTTCTCTATTGGATATTAACATATAAACATAATTTCACACCAGTTCTGAACAACAGATGCATCTTGTTCAGGAGAACATCTGTGTCTATAGAGGAATGGAGTTCCAACAGGTTTGGGCTGTTGCTCTTTTTATGGATGAGCATGGAAATGTGTCACAGCATGAGAAGTTTTGTGAGAAGTTTGTGCTCCCTAAATTAGATTCATTTGGCTTTTTCATAAACAGTTGCCAGTTGTGTGTGTGTGTGTGTGTCATAAGGGAATATATAGAAAAATAAATAGATACACAACCTATAATTAGTGTGTTTACCAGTGCCACATAGTGGACACAGGAGATGGTACAAATAGTGTGAAAGGTGTAAGGGCCCGTTTACTGCTGCTGCAGCTTTATTAGGGTCCGGGCAGCTAAACTGCCAGGACACTATTGTAATCCTAGGTATTCTTCTTTCTTCTTTCTTCTTCCGAGGAAATCATACTTCCCATGGGTGAAAACTCACCAAACTTTGCACAAAGGTCCAGTCTCATGCCAGATATCCTCAGCTGTAAACTTAAGCCAATAGTCCTGATGGTGGCGCTACAGCAAGCGTCTAAAGTTCAAAACTTTGAAAATTCATAACAAATCAACCATACGTGCTACAACTTCACAACTTACATCAAACTGTAGCCCCAATACTGAAGAAACTTTTGTACATTTAAACCTATTAAAAATTATGAAGTTCATCACTCTGTTTTTTTCAAAAACTGTAAAACCTTTTAAACCTATCTCCTCTTACAATTTTTGCTCAATTGACACCAAACTTGCTACAGAGCATCTTCAGACTGTCCTACAAAAACTACGTTTCTCAGATTTTTGATTTATCAAAAATTGAGCCTACAGTGCATCAAAATGTTTGACTGTAAATGGTACTGTAAACATATACATGCAAATTCTTGCTAAATAAATCTTCAATGTTCATGAAAAAAAGACAAAATTCTAGAGTCATGGTAGATAATGTGTGGCAAATTTCAGAATTTTATCTCAAAAGCTGAATTTTTGACAGCATTTTGAATTTTGCTCTAATGTGAACAATTGGAGTCAATGTAAAAATGGTAATTTTAAACACTTATGGAGCAAATCAATCATTGTTACAAACAAATTACCAAAGTCTCCATGCTGTCTAGATGCAATATGTGTATTTTCAGATTTTTGATTCGATAACTGAATTTTTTTTACAGTGGTTTGAAATGTGCTTTTCCATGCATGGACGGCTGCTAAACCTGCACGTCTGGTTTAGTCAGTTTGTGAAGCTACACATGAATTGTCACTGACTAATTAGCTCAGTGAGACAGAAATTGATTCTTAGTCACAGAGGTTGTGAGTTCAAGCCTCAGCTGATGCAAAAGGCAGATTGTGTTGCTAAATTCCTAAATGTCTTCCAATTCTTCTGCTTGTTGCTCAGAATTGCCTAAAAATGCCCGGACCTGACCCATCGCTGCGCAGCAGCTATAATTAATATTTATAACTGACCACACGCTGACTAGATTTTACACTTAATAAATATACCATGGAAAATATAAAACATAAATATAAATACTAAAATTAAAAATAAAATTTCCTTGTGGCTAACCCGGATGTGTACACCTTCTGCTTCCGGTGACTCCGTGAGCCCATTCAGCGAAGATGGCGAGCGGAGGGGTCTCGGTGGCTTCTCTGTGGACCGAAGTGAACCGTTGCGGGCAGAATGGAGACTTTACCAGAGCCCTGAAAGCTCTGACTAAAAGTAAGTATTCACGTCTGTCGTCGTTCCTCTGAATCGGGACCGGAGCTCCGGTGAGACAGCCGACAAACGGTGCATGTGTTCAGCGGAGCTCACTGGCTAAGCTAGGGCCAGCTGCATGACCAGCTGTTAGCATGTGGCTAAGCTAACGGCAGTTAGACAGCTACTTGTCGGGTCTCTCAAACACCGAGTTAGCTTTACATATTCAACATATGCTCATGAGTGCATACTTTAGTGTTGAAGCTACTAATCCAGCTGGATTGTGTTAGTATTATGCGAATTATTTAAACAGTATTTTGCTCCAGAAATGCGCCGTACTCTCCTGATCAGTGACGTGTCCCTAGCCTTGCTGCTAACTTAACATGGTCGGCAGCTAAACAGGTTTCAGTCAGCTGTCAGCAAACCGTTAGAAACGTTTAGCGACTGTTTTTCTTTTTAATGATCTTGTTTGCAGTCAGTAGTATCTCGGTGTGTAGCTGTCATCTGTGACTTTAATGTAACGTGTGTTTGTTTTTCTTCTGTCGCAGTTTTACATGAGAACAGAGACGATGTGACGGCTCTCCACTGTAAGATAGTTTGTCTTGTGCAGAATGGGAGCTTCAAAGAGGCGCTGAATGTCATGAACACTCACTCAAAGCTGCTCGGCAGGTAATCAGCAAACTATGTGGTTATTTACTGGTTTATAACTCTCACATGTGTTGATAGTAAACGTGCATTATTAATATAAACACTGGAACAACTGTCTGATTAACCAGTTGGAAAGTGATTTGATAGACAATTATTTTATTTGTCTAATCAAGCAAAAATGCTTAAAAATCTCTAATATCTTCTTGATATTGATATGTTGATATTAATATTAAAAATGTATTTAGAACATGTAAAAAAACAAAACAAACAGAAAGTGATATTTACAAATAATGAAAAACACAGTACAAAAGCAATTGTCAGTGTGTCGGTACTTTGATTAATGCATTTAAAAAAGGAGTGGAATTATAAACTTATTAAATCCCAGCCCTTCTCCATGAGTCATTTAATGTTAAGAAACAGACAGCTTCTTTATAATGACAAATCTATACATAGATGTGTCTAAATATACAGTTTTTATTAGCATTTCACATTGTCACACAAAAATAACCCATGTGAATATATAATGTTAATCAACAAATATCTATCTGTCTTAGAATATATTATTAATTACCAATTATCTATGACTTACATACCGGTCTAAGCCAGTATAAGGGAACATATAAAACCAAGCCTTTTGTTATTAAACAGTTATAAAGAATGAAACTTTTGTAATGCTTGTATCATGCTTTACTCATAAAGCTAACAAATTACTTTATACATATCTTGTTGTTGGCCCTGTCTCTCAGTTAATATGATATTTATTTCTCTTCTGTGTCAGTGAGGTTGTGTTTGAGAAGGCGTACTGTGAGTACCGTCTGAACAGAGTGGAAAGTGCCCTGAAGACCATTGAGAGTGCTCCTGAACAAACAGACAAGCTGAAGGAGCTCTACGGCCAAGTGGTAAGACTGAAGAGAGACATATTATTGCTGGATGCTTTTCGATTTGTTTCTGTTTGAGACTTTAGAGGAACAGAAAAAGTATTGTAAAGAAGAAGAATTGTGCAGAAACACGCAGCTTATCTATAAGATCTTTGAGTTACGACTGATGTAAGCTGTGAGGCCCCGATCACACAGGAAGGGTTTTGCAAGTTGCAAGGCACACTTTTTGAAAGTTGAATGCCACTAGTAGAAAAAACGCCTGCTACACTTTTTTATTGTTGCCAAGCAACCACCTCATTATATTCTTACCCTAACCTTTCCATGTAATCAATCTGCCGTTCATTTATTTATTTTACATTGAATAGTATCTAGTCCCAAAAATGTTGAGGCAGAGGGTAATGTCTGTAGCTCTGGTTGAGGGTGAGAGGCTGTCAGTAAATAGTTTGTTGGTCACAGGGAAACGGAGATCTGTGTGGGTTCATGCGACCTTGAAACACAAGAATGTACAAAACAGCATTTGGACAGTGATTTGACAGTGAAACACTCCGTCTGATTGGAGCCGTCTCTCCTCTCATTGTCCAGTTGTACAGACTGGAGCGCTACGATGACTGTAAGTCCGTCTACACGGATCTGATCAGGAACTCCCAGGATGAGTACGAGGAGGAGAGGAAGACCAACCTCGCTGCTGTGGTGGCTTCAATGAGTCAGTGGGAGGAAGCTCCATTGGTAAGGACAATTATTGGCTTTCTGATGCTGCTGTGTGTCGCTGTGTTGATAAACGGGATTATGTTTTATGTTTCAGTCTTCAATCAGTTTCCCCCCCTTAAGGGCAATTTAAACAGATTTCAGAAGTGTTCCCGTACACAAAGCAAGTTTAAAGTCTGCAGCAGTTCCGCTCACTTTTGTGCTGAGCATAACAAAATAGGGTAAAATGAATCTGGAGTTCAGCTGCCACTCAGCTCAGGGTTACTAGAGCTGGAGTCAGATTACTGTACGTTTATTGTGTTATATGTTTTTTAACATAATGTGTTCTGTTTTCTTCTGCAGGAAGATCTGGGTCTTCCTGAGTCCACGTATGAGCTGTGCTACAATGCTGCCTGCGCTCTGATTGGCCAAGGACAGCTTACAGAGGCCCTCAATAAACTACGACAAGCAGAAGGTCAGTTCCACTTTGCTCTGTCTTCTCTGTCCTGTTTCATGTTGCTGTTTAATGTACAATATTCTGGATTTGACATTAACTGATTGTTTTCTTTCACAGAGCTTTGCAGAGTCTCGTTGGCTGACGATTCTGTGAGTGCTGCTTTTCTTTTTTCTTAAAACATTTACGCAAACATTTATTTATTTCATTAAGTCTCGTCAGTTTTCAAAGAAACAGACTGTTTTAATCTGTAACATTTTCATCCGAAAGTCAGTGGAAGATGCTTCAGAGATGAAAATAATGAAATATAAACTCTGACAATGTACAGACAAAATATTTTGCTCATTTTAGGACTTGATAAGCCTGGAGAAGGAGAGGGCACAAACAATAATCGAAGGCATTAATCTTGCTGTCAGTAATGCGTTTTTTGTGTCTGAACACTAGTTGTGTAGTTACATCTCACTGGACAGCACTTAAACTAAAAATACAAGAGTATCCATCCTTGTCTTATTTCCTCCATGTTCCCCAGCTGTTGGTTTCCATTTTATTCCCAGGATAATCACTGTCATTGCTGGTTTGTGTCTTACAGGATGTGACTGAGGAGGACATCGAGTCAGAGCTGGCTGTCATCCATTCTCAGATGGCGTACGTCATGCAGTTACAAGGTCGGACAGACGAGGCTCTGCAGCTGTACAACCAGGTCATCAAGCTCAAGTGAGTGCACGGCTCATAAGATTTAGGGTGCTTCCACACCTGCCCTGTTTGTTCGTTCGTTTGCCCCCTAAATGCAGTTCGTTTGGGCAGGTGTGGACACAGCAATCACACTCAGGTGAGCACTAAAACAACCGGACTGAGACCAAGGTGGTCTCGGTCTGTTTACAGACAACTCTAGGTCTGACAGCACCCTTATTGTAAAAGCAGATGAGAATGATGTAGCACAGGTTGAAATAATAATGTTGTTTTCTAGTTTGAATTTGTGTTGTGACAGTACTGACAGTATACACATTTACCAGAAACATGGTGTGTGAAAACAGTGCAGATGTCAAACATACTCTTGATTTGCAGGCCATCAGATGTGGGGCTTCTTGCTGTGACTGCTAACAATATCATTACAATAAACAAGGTGAGTGAATGATCTTACCAACTGTAATATTTTATCATGAAGGCAACAGAAAAAATTCACCTGGATCAAGTGTTTTCATTAAAGCTCTGTGTGTTTTCGTAGGACCAAAACGTGTTTGACTCAAAGAAGAAGGTGAAACTGACGAACGCTGAAGGTGTTGAATACAAGCTGGCAAAGAAGCAGCTGCAGGCAATCGACTTCAACAAAGCCCTCCTGGCCATGTACACTAACCAGGTAGACAAAGAGCTGTCATCATTACCATGCAGAGGATTTTTGAGAGAGTTTTAGATTTCATTACTGATCATGATTCTCATTGCTGTTTGCTGTCAACAGGCTGACCAGTGCAGGAAACTGTCATCCAGTCTTCAGTCTCAGAATCCGGGTCACCCGCGGCCGGTCCTCATCCAGGTTGCTCAGCTGTGCAGAGAGAAGCAGCACAGCAGGGCCATAGAGCTGCTCCAGGTAGGAATGAACAACACTGCTGTTGACTTGTCATAAAAACATACATACAGAGTACTCCAACTTTCCTTTCTCCCAACAAATGGTTTTACAGTTACAGGCACATAGACAAAGCCTTTAGATGTAGTTAAACTGGGCAGCACAATTACAGGCTGCAAACAACCCTCAGTGTCCTATCACCATAGCAGACAGTCCAACGCTTCGGGGCGGTACACATGCCGCATCTTCAACCGCCTGGAAAAGGCGAGGTCTGGCGCATGGTGCTAAACTTGTGCTTACTCTGTACCAACTTTCAAGGGCGCGGCAAGTTGCATCTGAGGTTGCTAAGCGACCATAACCAACACCGTATCATAGCCTACTTAGAAGAAATCCCGAGTGCAGAGTTCATCTTCTTTCAGATGATGTTTTGTAAGTGTGTGTTAGTCCAGAAATATCGTCCGTGGGACAGATGTAGAGCTCTGGCAGCCCTGCGCTAAAATGATCAACTTCTTTGTCATATTTACCAGACTGATATTTACGAAAGAAAGGAAATGCATCTGCTGGCTAGGATTGGTTGTTCCTCGTCACATAGTCTGAGTGGGCAGAAGTTTGCTGCAAAGATCAGCCTCTCATTGGGTGGAACGAGCCACCCGCTGAAGTCCCGACCTACCACCTCCGGTTGTGTAGCAGTTTTCAACCGTTTTCAACACGTCCTTTACTAACTTTTGCGGGGATGTAGCCATTTTTCTGCCATGGTTCGCGTCCTGTAGGTGATATTTTTGTGGGCATGTTACACCAAAACCTGTTTCCCCCCGGCAGTATTTTTGCAAGAGCACCGTTGCTGTGGCACCGCCCAGAATTATTGTGATTGGTTGAAAGAAATACAAGCAGCCGGGGCGTTTTTTCTCCAATCTTAAATTGAGAGTCGGCCCAGCCAGACCTTTCTTTTCTTGAGAAAGGTCTGGTGAGCGAGACTACTCGTCACATGACATGCGGTGCATGCTACTGTGTTCCAAAAGTTGAACTCTGGTTATCTCAGGGTGCAACTGTCACACCCTGAAAAATAGACGCTCTGGAACGAGTGCGCACCTTGACGGCGTCCCTCTTGTTGTATTTTATGCTGTAGTTTTTGAAACTTGGCATGATAGGAATCAAGGCAGCAGAAACACACATGCGGAGAGAGCAACACAAAATCACCAAGAAAACCTGCCAACAGATGTCTGGTATTTTCAAGTTCTGTTCTACTCTCAGCACCGCGAGCCACAAACATCATGTTACAATAAAAGTGTTAGGGACAAAAGTGTCCCTCAGCTCATGTGATTGATGTCGATTTGTGTTTTTGTTTTTTCCAATTTTGGTTCATGTAAATTGGTCTTACATTTGATTCTGAGTGGCATTAAAAAACTCTTAGATCTAGCCTGCTTTAATCTGTAGAAAACCTGTAATCTACTGAGCAGGATTCTGTAGAATATTTTATTTTAGTTATTCTGACAGTTTGTGTGCATTCAGTAAGTTAGATTTTCTTGCATCATGCTAACTGACTATTCTGTTGTTTTCCAGCAATTCTCAGACCAACATCCAGAGAGTGCGTCTGGCATCAAACTGACAATGGCACAACTCTATTTAATACAAGGTACCGGCATGTTTGTACATTAAATAAAGTTTAATGTATTCAGACAGACCAGACTGTCTTACAGGACAGGATGCCAATTGAAGATGTTCCAGCTACAGATAATAAACTATCTTTGTCACATAAAAAAATATTTTGTTATTTAACTGAGTGGTTCAAACTAAAATTAAAGTTTCTTTCTATTAATGAGCTTGTGGTGATTTATTGGCTTTTTCAAGGTCACTGGCTGCATTTGTGTTTTTGTACTCTTTAGCTGAAATAATAAAGAGCTTCTTTTTTTGTCCTCAGGTCACGTAACAAAAGCTTGTGATGTTTTAAGGTCCATCGAAGAGTTTAAGCACAAATCAGGGATGGTAAGTCTGAAATGAAAACCGTATTAAACTGGAGTTTCCCACAGCTGATACTCATCTCTTTACAGTGATGGTTGGTGGTTATTGCACCCTGCTTTCTGTGTGAACTCTTTAATGTAGCTTCAGTCGACTGCCATTTATCTAAACTGTGTCATTTCCTCCTCAGATTTCAGCTCTGGTAACGATGTACTCCCACGAAGAAGACATTGACAGCGCTATTGACATTTTCAAACAAGCTATTGGACATTACCAGTCTGAACAGGTTTGTGTCTGTTCTCATCTCACTAAAATCTGTTTTAGTTTAGCACAGTAAGTGATGCTTCTGTGACTCCAGTGAGTCCTCTGTGACCCCTAACACTCTACAGTAACTCCAGATGTCTCAACAGAACATTCAGGGAACATAACACTGTGTCACTGCAACACACTGTATTTGATTGGTAACAAATTTAGTAAAACACATGCTGCTGTAGTCAAGGCTGTGGGTCATACTTTGATCTGACAAGCCAACTCAAGCTAGTGTTTTTGATAGGTGAATTTGTTTCCGCTGTGTAATTGGCCCGTCCTTCCTCCTCCACAGCCCGGATCTGCTGCACACTTGGCCCTTGTACGAGAAGCTGCCAATTTCAAACTGAAGTACGGACGGAAAAAAGAAGCCATTAGTGATCTGGAGCAGCTGTGGAAGTGAGTTACAGCCCTGATAACACTCTCAAGTTTAACATGTGTGGGGGTGGGAACAGTGAGGTTGTCTCCCAGCTGTTCATTCTGCTTGTTTGATCAGTCTTGTCGGCATGATGTCATGTTGCTCATACATTCTTAACCAACATCATTACAATGCACTTACAGAGCAGAGAAAACAGACAAATTATAAAATAAGAAAAAAACCTCATTGTAGAGATAAAACATTTATTTATTTACTATGGGATACTATGGGATAGTTCAGATCTTTCGAAGTCAGTGTATTAGCTACTGTAGATGTCTGTCAGCACAACTCTAGTTTGGAGAAGCAGGCAGAAGAACAGACACGGAAGCCAAGCGTTGTATCGCTGTGGACGGGGCAGCAACAAAAGAATTTTATCCACCTAAAAAATTCCATATGCCTTTTAGGTGTAAACTATATTTAGAATATGTTTACAGATTCACCTTGCTGTCAAACGGTCCTTACCCAGTTTGGTTCTCTTCAAAGCCAGACTCCATTGACAAAAACAGTAATTTAACATCACTTAACACAGGAGGTGCTGGTCTGCTGCTGCCTCATTCACTTAGTTAGTTTGTGTTACTGTGCGAGATTCACTGAGATCACACAATACACAAACTAACTAACAGATTTAGGCAGCGAAAAACCAGCACCTCCTGTGTTCAGCAAGTAAAATTACTGTTTTTGTCAAAGGAGCCTGGTGGCCTTGAAGTGAGCATATAAGAGCTTTAGTTTGCTGTTGGAAAGAGCTCTGTGATTGCAAGCTGTGAAAATATTCCAAATTTAGGATACACTTAGACTGATAATGATTTTTTAAGGTGGCCAAAATACATTGAGTTGCTGCCCCCGTCCACAGCAGACATTGCTTAGCTTCCATGGTGGTACTCCTGTTTGTTTCTCCAGGCTAGCCGCCATGGAAAAGTACCTCAAACAAATCTGAACTGTCCTATTACATTTTCATTTATTCTGTTAGTCTGTGTTTGTCGTGTGATGTCAGGAGGTCATTTTTACCATGACAGATGTTGGAATTTCTTCTTTTACAACAATGAAGCTGACTTTATTTTATTTTTCCTGATACAGGCAAAACACCAACGACATCCACACACTGGCACAACTCATCTCAGCGTACTCTCTGGTGGACACGGATAAAGCCAAATCGTATCCTTTCAGACCAGTGCTGAAATGATTTGGTTTTTAGTAACTGGCACCTGTTTGTGCTCAGTTGATTGTTTCAGGCCCTTTTCAAGCAAAAAGAGAAAATATTTTTTAATCTTAGCTTCTGAAATGTGAGGAATGTTTGTCCTTTTTTGTGATATATGAGAATCTTTGTTGTGTTGGATTGATGAGCTTATAAAATAAGGAATATGAAGACACCATGTTGGGTGTAGGGAAGTTATAAGAGGCTTTTTTTTTTTTTACATTTGATAGTCAAAACAATTTTATTTTAATTGTGAAAATAGTAGACAGAGTAATCCATAATAAAAAAAAAACAACAACTGTTAGTTGCAGCCCTGGAGGACCACACCACGGACGTTTTTGACACATTGCTAGGCTAAGATACGATGTGGTACGATATGATTAACATAATTGTCACTGAAAGGAAGTTGTCTTGGACTCAGGAGCTGCACGAGTATTGCTGCCTTACAATAATAGTCCAGAAGAAATTAAGCATACACCATAGAAACATAAAAACCTACCTGAGATCAGGAGAACAGATGTCATTTTGTTTGAATTTTATCTTGTATGCTTTAAACTCTTGTACAGCTTTGCACTCCTGACAGAATTAATGCAAAAACCCAAAGGTTAGGACTCTTAGACGACCTTATGAGGGTGCTTCTGTGAAGCGAACTTTCAAAGAGCCAGTTCAAAATCGTTACGTCCTCAGCATTCCTCTGCAGCCTCAGCAAACACCTACCGTCCGCAGACACAATGGCCTTCAATGTGGACGTGGACGAGCTGGAGAACTCGCACGGAGCCACGTACGTCAGGAAAAAGGCTGCAAAGGTCACAGGAGAAAACCTTCCCAAAGAACAAAGGTAAACCCTCATTACTTGATGTTCAGAACATTTTCTACATTTACAAATGTGTTGTTTTTCTGTTTAAAGTATGTTAATGAGCAGAGTGGGAGGGATGAGTTTAGGTGGTTACACTTCATCTTTTAAACTAATATATCTGCATTTTCTTTACAGCCAAGGCGAGATCAAAAAGAAGAAGAAGAAAAAGAGAGGTATGACATGAATCAAATATTTGTGGGACAGGTTATTTTTAAAATAATAAAGAAATGGCTCCTGCTTGCTGTTATGATTAAAGTAAAACAATTACTGGTCAGTCTCTAATTGTATCTTAAACAATATCCTCTTGAGTTGTTTGTCTTGCAGCAGTGGAGTCTTTCTCACTGACATTCTTAAGATAATAAACTGTTTTGTTCATATTTGAAATGGGTATATTGTAAACTGAACACTGCTGACCTCTATGGGCCACAAGTATGAATTACAATAATGTCATTAAGCTTATTTTCCTCTTTTGTAAGACACAGATAGTTCTTGACCACAGCTCTGTCTCATCTGCGCTGAGTGCCACCCTTCAGTGACTCCCTCTGGCTTTATTTTTTAGGGAAACTGCCCAAGAACTACGACCCCAAAGCGACCCCTGACCCCGAGAGGTGGCTGCCCATGAGGGAGCGCTCCTACTACAGAGGCAAGAAGAAGGGAAAGAAGAAGGAGCAGATAGGAAAAGGCACACAGGGAGCGACGGCAGGAGCTTCAGCCGAGCTGTGAGTACAGAATCTCATACATGTGCACGTCACCTGTGAGTGGAGTCGTCTGGGTGCAGTTTCCTGTAATTGAAACCCAGTAATCAACTCCACTAATGGAGGAGAAGCATGTGTTGTTTCTCTGCCAGTGGATCCTCAGTGGAGGTGTCCAGCTGCTGTGCAGAGGAAAGGACTTGTGTGTTGTTTTAGCCAAAATAGAAATTATTCTCAGACTGAGCCAAAGTTGAAATTTATATGTACGACCATCGGAAAGGCTTCTACATCAAGGAGAGTAAGGCAGTGTCAACTCACTGCTTAATAGGGTAGCAACGGCTCCTGTCTCCAGATTCTTTTAGCGACCTACTGCTCAGAAGGAACTCATTCAGCGGCTCCTCTGGCAGCAGCACAGCGTCTCTCCCTCTCCTCTCTTGCCCTGCGCACACGGGAGTCGGTGTCGTCAAGTGATTTTGTCATAAACTTTTGGTTTAACGTACTTGCAGGGCACAGATACACACACGACACATTACATTTCAACTTGTTTAAATTGTTTAGCAGTAAATTTTAGGTGCAACATGTTAGAACACTCCCTGATATGACTTTTTCTCTTCCTCTGTTTCCAGGGACGCCAGTAAGACAGCCAGCAGCCCCCCTACCTCCCCCAGACCAGGGTCTGCGTCCGGTTCATCTACAGCCGCCGCCAGCAACGTGGTCCCACCACGACAGCAGAAACCTGCAGCGTCAGGGGCCACACGCAAGAAGGCACCACAGAAGAAGAAGAAGGGAGGCAAAGGAGGCTGGTAGTCGGAGGGAGTCAACACGTGAGGCAGAGGGGCCATGAGATACACTCGTGTCTCTTTTTTATGTTTCAAGTTAAGTTTTAGTTTTGTCCCCGCCAACCACCAAAATCTGTGAAACCAAAAGCTCCCTCTGCTCGTCTGTCTTTAATTTGTCATGTTTAAAGAGCTGAAGAGAGAATTTAAAGGACAGTTCCACTGAAATTAACTTTTGGTTGCTCTGCAGAAGCAGATAGATCCTTAAAGTTTTTTTTACTTTGTTTTTACTCGTGACCTTCTGAGGTCGCAGTAAAATGAGCAAAATACTACAGTTATGTTTTTTTCATTAAAGGTCAGATGAATTGAAAAAAGCGTTCTCTTTACTCTTACCTGGTGCTTTGTTTTTAAAATCAAAATGACATCCATGAGACTGAATTCATTCATCTGTAAATGTCTATAACAAATATAAAATGTGGTAATACTTTTTTTTTGGGGGGGGGGGGTTTATCATGCTAACAGCAAATTAATGAAGTTTCAATTAAATCATTAAAATCATGTGATATCAAAAACATTTTAGTGGGCCTTTTCATTTTTAATTAATATTGTTAATCACACAGTTATGAAAACAAACTTTGTTTGGTAACTTAAAGTTCAATTGTGGGGGAGTTGTCCTTAATGTTTCTCTGGTCTGAGTATTATGACATCACACTCTGGCTGTTTGCTTCATGTTTCCTTAAATTGTCCCTTTACTTTCAATCAGCTACAAAGACGCGATGTTAAAGGATATTTATTTTTGGATCCCTGTGTTGGTCTAAATTCAAACTAAAGAATTTAAATTGTTGAATTTTGTCAGACGCATGTTTTAGGACCAGACAGGTCGAACAGGTGTCCCCTTTTGTTAAGTCTTAATAAAACCCTTAACAGTAACACATGACTATTGTGTTTCATTGAATATTTAACTAGATGGCTGCTACTGGTTTTTATTGTCATAAGTTTAGTAGGGTTTTTTTTGTTTCATTGTTTTGTTTTACAGCTGAACTGAATTTCATCCACTTATTTAGATTTTTAAAAATGATTTATGGGTTTTTTTGTTTGTTTTTTAATTTTGCAAGATAGGTTTTTACATAAATACTTGCCAGGTTATGTTTTAATCAAGAGGTTTTCTGGATCAGGCAGTATTTCTGTGAAAAATTTGGAGCCCCCTGGTGGTCTCACAGTAGACTGCTATTATTTGATATATTTCACTCACATGATTTCCAGTTAAAATATAACGGGTTTTTTTTAAACTAATACCATATCCTGTACTGTATACTGACAATAGGCACGTCACAGCAGTGTTAACCTTTGTGTTTCACTTTCTGATTTTCAAATCACAATTTATGTCACAATACATCTCCACGTTTTCAATCTCAAACAGTTAATTATGTAAGTTTAATTTAGTGATGAATGAATTCTTTTGAATCCTGAAGAGATCAGTTTTCTTGTGCTGCATTCAGACGCCTTTCACTTTGAAACCTGAGTTGCTTTGGTATCTTTTGAAAATGTTCTAAAAAGGCGACAAGCAACTTGGCAAGAAATGTCCTGCAAATTGCAAGAAACTAGTAAAAATGTGACCAGAAAAGTATCCTGAAAAAGAAAAATGGGGGAAATTATCAGAAAATTATCTTAAAACTAGGAAAAAATGCCCAGAAAAATGTATTTATAATTATAATAATTGTATTTTTTTTTTTTAAATTACATTACAGAAAAAAATTGTCAAGAAATTTTCCTGCAACTTTTACTACTTTCTTGCTTTTTTGGATCATTTCTTGTAAAGTTGCTCCATGACGCACACAGTTCTGAGTTGCATGTGGTCAGTAAGTCAGCATCAGTGCAGGCTCCTGTCGGAGGGCTTTATATCTCACTTCCACTCCTCACTAGTTGGTTTGGGACGGCACTCAATGTGGTGGACACTTGGCATGAGCGATATGGAGTGGACGCGTGTAGGGAGAGAGTGTATGGGATGGTTTGGGAAAGGCCCTCTGACCTGACTGCTGGTTTTTGTCACTGCCCGTGATCTCATTCACTTTCTAGGCGAGGTGTAGTTCAACTCAAACAAAGTAAATCTTGATTGATAAGAGGCACCACAGGTAAGAGTAAAAATACGTATTTTTTTATTTTGGGGTGAACTGTCCCTTTAATACCACACCTGATGGTTAATTGACTCCCTCCACTCGTGGGCAGGTAATTTGCCAAAGATGAGCTTCACCTGCTTTGACTCTGCTCAGAGCTCCTTCAGACATCTGACAGACAGTCTGAGAGTTTCAGTGTTACCTGTTGTGGTTATCGTCTTGTGGACAGGATGTCTCGTACGCCGCCTACTTACGCTGATTTCTTCTACCAGCCTCTGACAGAAGATGTGGAGGAACTCCTGGCTCATTTCCAGCAGACCGACTCCATCAGGTACGATGTGTTTTCAGCCATCTGGAGGGAGATGGGCTTCTCTGATGTCTTCACAGGGATCATCAGTATAGCTGAGATGAAGAGATTCTGCAGATTGGCACTGGCCACAGCCGTGAAGTACTTCCTGCCTCCGTACAGCTACCAGATCCGAGTTGGAGGCCTGTATCTGATGTTTGGTTTGTACCACACACAACTTGCTGCTCCGCCTGTGAAGATTAGACTCGCTCTGAAGGACTGGGCTGTGATTCAAAAGTTTGTGAAGGACTCTGTGGACTCTGGGCATCAGGACATCGTTTACATCTATGAAAAGCTTGTTGCAACCAAAGCCATACACTACACCGCCATGCCACATTTCCTCAGCTTCCACAAGCACAGGAAGCCGAAGAAGCAGCCTGTGTGTGCAGAGTTTCTCGGGAGGTGCACAGCCATCCAGGAGCTCCTCTCAGCAGACATCCTGGAGGAGCTGACCAACATCCAGAGCCAGTATGAGAAGATGAAGGAGGCCACAGCAGAGGTCAGCTGCAAGGCCACCATGACCCATCGAGGGTTTGCCGCCAGCCTGAAAGACTCCATGACTGAGTTCATCATGTGGCAGCATAAGACTTTCAAAAAAGCTAAAAAACACAAGAAGTCTAGTGATGATGATGGTGAGGAGGAGGAAGAAGATGAAGAGGAGGAGGAGGAAGAGGAGGAGAAGCCAACTGAGTCCAGCCGCAGCAGAGCCAGACTCCTGTCCTCCATCAAGCAGAAGAGCTACAGCAACTTCCAGGAGCCGTCCAAGTCCAGGAGGCACCGACAGGCCGAGACAGTGGAGTCCTGCAGCTCAGGGGCCGAGCTAGTCCAGGAGACTGCAGGTCGGCGGCGAAAGAAGGTTCCCTCTCTGCGGGCTCGGACCTGGATGAGTCTTGGGGTGCCGCAGGAGGAGAGCCAGCTCCAGGCCTGGCTCCTGAGTGCTCCTGAGCAGCAGGAGAGGGTCCCAGTGAAGAGGACCAACCAGACTGCACCTTTCAAACCATGATGGGAGGACGGAGGACTTTTAGCTAAAGAAGTTCTGTCCTGTTGTTTTTGTTCTTCAGGTTAAAGTTTATTCATTTAGAAAAACATTTGGATTTTAGTTGATTTTCATTCATTATGCACTTGTTGTTTAACTGGAATCATGTAATCTGTTAATAAATATAGTGAATAATTGCCTCATCCTCTTGTTTTCACTGACTTCTGGCCTCTAAATCCATACCACTGGTTCCCAACCTAGGACATCTTGGTTTTAAAGGGTGTAAGAAAACTTGTTAAAAAATACACAGTGGGACTTTATCATCATTTCATGCGTGTCTGTGAAGAAAAATAAATGAAATTGTTAATTTTTACAATTTAGATATAAACTTAATTCTGACAGGATTAGGGCAGGATATAGACTTGAACACAAGGTGTATTTACAGAGCCTTAACTCTCTGCCAAACAGCCTCAAACTGCATCAGAAAAGTCCACAGCTCAGACAATCAAAAGCATCAAGATAACACTGAATTTGTCAAAAAAAGAAGCTTAATTATGTATGATTGTTAAAAATGAACAATATATGATATAGAATCGTACAAAAAGTTTAAATATATGAGGAACACTCATCTCAGAAGTAATATTTACAAGAAATAATCTACTCAAAATTCAATGAAATCCCTTTTTTTAAGCAAATATACATATATACAGTACAGGCCAAAAGTTTGGACACACCTTCTCATTCAATGTGTTTTCTTTATTTTCATGACTATTTACATTGTAGATTCTCACTGAAGGCATCAAAACTATGAATGAACACATGTGGAGTTATGTACTTAACAAAAAAAGGTGAAATAACTGAAAACATGTTTTATATTCTAGTTTCTTCAAAATAGCCACCCTTTGCTCTGATTACTGCTTTGCACACTCTTGGCATTCTCTCCATGAGCTTCAAGAGGTAGTCACCTGAAATGGTTTCCACTTCACAGGTGTGCCTTATCAGGGTTAATTAGTGGAATTTCTTGCTTTATCAATGGGGTGGGGACCATCAGTTGTGTTGTGCAGAAGTCAGGTTAATACACAGCCGACAGCCCTATTGGACAACTGTTAAAATTCATATTATGGCAAGAACCAATCAGCTAACTAAAGAAAAACGAGTGGCCATCATTACTTTAAGAAATGAAGGTCAGTCAGTCCGGAAAATTGCAAAAACTTTAAATGTGTCCCCAAGTGGAGTCGCAAAAACCATCAAGCGCTACAACGAAACTGGCACACATGAGGACCGACCCAGGAAAGAAAGACCAAGAGTCACCTCTGCTTCTGAGGATAAGTTCATCCGAGTCACCAGCCTCAGAAATCGCAAGTTAACAGCAGCTCAGATCAGAAACCAGATGAATGCCACACAGAGTTCTAGCAGCAGACCCATCTCTAGAACAACTGTTAAGAGGAGACTGCGCCAATCAGGCCTTCATGGTCAAATAGCTGCTAGGAAACCACTGCTAAGGAGAGGCAACAAGCAGAAGAGATTTGTTTGGGCCAAGAAACACAAGGAATGGACATTAGACCAGTGGAAATCTGTGCTTTGGTCTGATGAGTCCAAATTTGAGATCTTTGGTTCCAACCACCGTGTCTTTGTGAGACGCAGAAAAGGTGAACGGATGGATTCCACATGCCTGGTTCCCACTGTGAAGCATGGAGGAGGAGGTGTGATGGTGCGGGGGTGTTTTGCTGGTGACACTGTTGGGGATTTATTCAAAATTGAAGGCACACTGAACCAGCATGGCTACCACAGCATCCTGCAGCGACATGCCATCCCATCCGGTTTGCGATTAGTTGGACGATCATTTATTTTTCAACAGGACAATGACCCCAAACACACCTCCAGGCTGTGTAAGGGCTATTTGACCAAGAAGGAGAGTGATGGAGTGCTGCGGCAGATGACCTGGCCTCCACAGTCACCGGACCTGAACCCAATTGAGATGGTTTGGGGTGAGCTGGACCGCAGAGTGAAGGCAAAGGGGCCAACAAGTGCTAAACACCTCTGGGAACTCCTTCAAGACTGTTGGAAAACCATTTCAGGTGACTACCTCTTGAAGCTCATGGAGAGAATGCCAAGAGTGTGCAAAGCAGTAATCAGAGCAAAGGGTGGCTATTTTGAAGAAACTAGAATATAAAACATGTTTTCAGTTATTTCACCTTTTTTTGTTAAGTACATAACTCCACATGTGTTCATTCATAGTTTTGATGCCTTCAGTGAGAATCTACAATGTAAATAGTCATGAAAATAAAGAAAACGCATTGAATGAGAAGGTGTGTCCAAACTTTTGGCCTGTACTGTAGATATAGTATGTTTTCAAAGCAGAGAAAATACAGTGAAAGGAAATGAGGCAAGTAAACTGAAATTTAAAAATATTTATTTTAGAAAGTACTTGATAAATTTAATCGGCATAAAAAAAAAAGGATGGAATATTCTTAAAGCACTATCAGATTTTGTCACTTTTTCAAAACACACAAAATAAGGCTTTCAAGGACTCAATTAAAGACTGAAATTACTTAATAAAATGATTTTTATTTATGTGTCAAAAGTTAAATTTTAGTGTACAAAATAACAAGTAACTTCAGAAGTCAAGTAGAAGCAAGCAGCAGAAAAAAAATACTCAAGTATAACAACTACAACACCTTAATATTGTACTTAAGTACAGTGGCCAACTTGAGTAAACATACTTAGTTAGTTTCTACCACTGTTTATAATGAATGACTATATATAAAGATTATATCTTTATGATACAGTCTATAAATCATTTATTTCTCCATGTTTGGTAAAAAGAAAAAGCATAATGCACATATTTATTTCTCTTCAATTTAATTTAATTTTATTTCATTTTATTACTTTATATTTGCATCATTTTATTTCATACTCTTATTCTTACTTAGAATTCTCTGTTCTTTACATCAGAGCGCCTGTAACGAATCATAATTTGTCCTCGGGGATCAATAAAGTATATTTGATTCTGATTCTGGGACTGGTTGAACAAAACACCTTAAGTTTTCTCCCTAAGTATTACACATAAGGCTTAATTTGTCCTTAGCTGAGGGCCTTACACAGTTGCACAGAATCCCTTAAAAGGTTTCCTTAGTGTAAGGAAAAACTTTAACTCACTGTGTTGAAAGAGATCTTACAGCGGTAAAAGTTTACATGGAGATTGTTTGTTTGTCTGTTATCGTCTCACAAAGTTGTCTTATAGTTAGATAGTGAAATGAAGTGAAATTTTTTCCCCGTTAAAGGGTTTTTTGGGGAGTTTTTCCTTATACGCTGCGAGGGTCCAAGGACAGAGGGATGTCGTATGCTGTAAAGCTCTTTGAGGCAAATTGTGATTTATGATATTGGATTGATACCAGTGAATTAAATTGAAAATATGGCAGAAGAAAAGACGACAAGAAAAGCAAATTGGTCAGAGGAGGAAAAGATTAAACTTCTGGAGGAATAAATTCACAGAAAGCACAAACTACAAAGTAAATTTGACCCCGAAATACCAGAAAATGATCGTAGAAAGAAACTGCAACAGAAACGAATTCAGTAAAACCTTAAGTATAAAATCAAAAGAGTATGTGCTCGGTTCTCCTGGATGCAGAAAGACTCTTCTCAGGGTGTGTTAGCTTTTTAATTTATCATCATATAAACATGTTGCAGTTAAGATAGAGTCAGAGGTACCTTAAGTTCTTTTTTTACCTTGCTCTGGTTGCTAAGGTCTTTTGTGCAACAGTCTAAAGGGATTCCTTAATACTTAGGTGAACATTTTAAGGACACTTTAAGGAGAAGACTTAAGAGTGTTTCGAGCAAATGATTTTATTTTGAGGGAACCTTAACCATGACTTGAAGGAAAATCTTAACTTAAGATGTGTTTTCTGAGGCAGACTTGTGAATATCATGAAAACGCTGTATTCAAAATGGCGGCCTCAGGCGGTGAGATTGCAACACTGCATCAACAAACAGCGCTTCATGCCGGAAATACCGTTTGAAGAAGTTCCTCCTGAGCTTCCTGTCTGTTAATCCACTTGTTGAGCAGAAGAAGAAGACGAGGAGGTGAACACACAAAGTGAAATCTTCACTAAAAGTCAAACGATGGCGGAAACGGTCGGGTAAAGAGCGGCAGTTAGGAGAAACAAACCCGGCTGTTGAGCACCATGTCCGGTCTGAGAGCAGCCGGCGTCCTCGGCGCCTCCGTGGCTCTCGCGGGAGGACTCGCCTATCTTATCTGGAACTACGCGTCCTCCTCCGGGGAGGGGAAGCCTGAAACACGGCCGGAGAAAGACGGGAAAACTGCCAGAAAGGAAGGAGAGGGAGATGAAGAGGAGAGAAAAGAGGAAGAACAGACTGTTGTGGCCGTTGAGGAGGCGCCGGTTGTTGCTGCTGAAGCTCCGAAAGCATCGGAGGTAAAAACGGTAACGGACACACCTTCATGGAAACGGCCGGTGGACAGTGTACCATTAACGTTATACTACAAACATAAACTTATTTTAAAGAAAGCTAACTTCTAAAATGTTCTCACGAGGACAAAAGCAAAGAAAAACTGAGCACATTTAGCTGCTCTGTTTCTTAAACTGTTTAAGGATTAAAACTTGAGGTTTCTACTTGTTTAGTAGCAGTAGAAGAAGAAGGAGACATTTCTAATGTTACAGCCTAAAATAGACCAGAGTTCAGCAGCTGGAGAAAACATTTAGTGTTTTAACTTTAGCCTTCATTATAAACATTATCCAGAGTTAATCAAATAAAACTACAACCAACTTAATACTTTTATTTATATTGTGACAACAGCAATAGTTTCAGATAAATTCTCTGGAGGCTGCTGTGGGGAACTCTGGGAAATGTAGGACCTCACAGACTAAGAGATTAAAACAATTAATTGGTTGGTCCAGTGAAAGAAACCTAAACAAACTTTTAAATTAGTCAGCCATTTGAGTCTATTTTAAGTGAAACTAGCTAATTTTCACTAGTTGCATGCACTTGTGAACATTTGCAGATCTTTTAAATTAAAAAAATTAAAAAACAGTAAATTAAAAATCTTTGTGATATTTGTTTGTTTTTGTTTTTGTTTTTTAACCAATTCCAGACATTTTAAAGGCCAAAGGATTATCAAATAATCACACAAATAATCTGCAGATTAAAGGAACGGGGAGATTAAGTGGCGTCCAGAGGAGAGGATTGCAGATTGCAACCAGCTGAAACTTCTTCAATTTAACTCAGTTCAGTTCAATTTTATTTATAAAGCCCAATACAACAAGTCACAATTTGCCTCAGAGGGCTTTACAGCACTAGGCATCCCTCTGTCCTTGGACCCTCACAGCGGATAAGGAAAAGCTCCCTGGAATAAACCCTTCAGTAGGAAAAAAATTGGTAGAAGAGCAACTGAGGAAGGATGTGCAATACATGTCATGTGTACAGATTAGATTAACATGATTAATTTAACTTCTCCGAGTTAAAACTCCGTCAGTGTTCATTGTTCAGGGAGTTTTTACCGAGAGCAGAGGTCTCTTCCTCTTTAAAACAAATGAACCTAATGATTAAAACAAGTAGAAACACAGAAGAAAACAGTTTCATGTACACATAAGTGTATTTCCTACTCCAAGGCTCATTCGGCATGTCGCCCAGCGCCCTGCTGATGTGTGCCCACTCTTTTTCTGATCCAGATGTTCAGGAAATTTTTACTTTGAGCTGAATTACAGCAGGGGTTTCGTGTTAGAAAAATAAGTGTTTCCTACGCTCTCTCAAAAAATGTGAATGGCCCCATCTAGAGCCAGTGTTTGGTTTGTCTGTTCTCGGCTACTGTACAGACATGGCTGTGGGGATCTCCATAGACGAGGACCCGCTCCTTATGTAGATATAAACGTCTCATTCTAAGATAACGAAAACACAACGATTATTATTTCCAGGTGATTATACACTAAAGAAAACATACATATTATATTATATTCCATTTCTGCCAATAGATCCCCCTAAATCCTACACACTGGACCTTTAATCAGTAATAGTAAACTGCAGCCCTAAAATAGACATAAATATTTAAACTTATAGTCAATCCATTAATTTTTTTTGTTTCTTTAAACACTGTCCAGAGTCTGTGTCACATCAGCATTTTGAAATTTATTTTAGCATTAATCTGATGTGTGTGATCTGTGTGTGCTGCAGTCTAAGCCTGTGGAGTCAGCAGGGACTCAGGTTCTGGTTCTGGGTCTGGATGGAGCCGGTAAGACCAGCCTGCTGCACTGTTTGGCCACCGGGTGCCAGGAGCAGGACATGGAGCCGACGCAGGGCTTCAACGCCGTCTCCATCAACAGAGAGGACCTGCACATCGAGTTCCTAGAGAGTAAGTTTGAACCCAGAAGAGATGATTGACAGTGTGACCTGTCACTTCTTCTTCACGCCATGAGTCTGATGTTGATGTCACCGTCTGTCTGTCTGTCTGTCAGTTGGAGGTAAAGAGGAGCTGCGGCCGTACTGGCAAAGGTACATGTCCAAGGCTCTGCTGCTGGTGTTCGTGGTCGATTCCTCCAACCTGCAGCTTTTCCCCGTTGCTAAGAAGCACTTACACGAGCTGCTGGCCTTTGACCCCCACCTGCCTTTAATGGTCCTGGCCAACAAACAGGTGAGTGTGACAGGAAAACACTCCAGATTGTTTTCAACAAAAGCCTGCAGGCCTGTTGTCCTCGAAGAACTCGCAGCAGTTTATAATTAGAGACTCTGTTTTCACTGGGCTGCAACAAACAGTTATTTTTTATTAGCAATTAATGAACCAATTATTTTCTTGGTTTGTTGTTTGGTCTTAAAATTGTGATAAATATCTGTTGTGGTTTGACAGAGTCCACGGTGATGTCTTTAAATGTCTTGATTTGTCCAATTAGAACTCCATAACCCAGATTTATTCAGTTTTTTATTACCTCACATAAAGAACCAGAACAGAAGCTGTTGTCGGTGAATTTTTGATCATCATCATATTTGCTGATTCCTTTTCTGTTAATCAAAAAATTCATCTCTAGTGTTCAAATGAGATTTTATTGTTTCAGCTTAGAGCTTCGTAAAAGTGTGATCCAATTGTAAGTCATAGCATCACAACTAAAATTTAAAACACAATCATGACCTGCCATCACTCCCAAATAGATGATGTATTTAACATAAGGAGTAACAGTGTGTCAGCACAGGAGTTGTTTCAGCTGCATTCTCCAGTTGTTTGTGCATCTGGAACAGATTCAGTCCTAATCAAGCTGTCTACACAGGCCAAGTAATAGGTCATGTTTCATGTGCACTGTACCCGAGTAAACGCAACCCAAAGCATATTTTTAAGATGTTCTTTAATGTACTCTGATTTCAACACAGGAGTAAAACCATAGACTGTATAAAAGAAGTGTATATAGCCTCGTGGTCTGAAAAGTCCAAAGCCCTCTAAGTCCAGAAAGGTGCTTTTTTTGTGTGTGCCCAAGTTCTACTCCACAGAAAAGTGAAGCCAATGCAACAGTGCCTTAAACTTGCATTCTTGCTAATGGCCAGCAGAGGGAGACTCCACTGGTTCAGATTGTATAGAAGTCGACAAGAAGGGGACCCTACTTCTCACTTGATTAATTACCTCAGTAAACATTTTCCAAACAAGTTTATGGTCTCAATTGCCAGTTTCAAGTCTTCTTCAAAGCAGCATGATGTTCATTTAGCAAATTATGGTCCCATTTAGGGTAAATTAGACAATAAACCAGGGTAAGCTTCAGGGCGTGGCTACCTTGTGATTGACAGGTCAGTAGACGTCAGATAAGAAACAATGACGTGTGACAACAATAAAGCCCCCACAAAATAAAGTTGGAAGTCTTGTGTATGATTTATCCCAGCTTCATATGAGTAGAGGAAAGTCTGCTAGGCTAATTTATACAATGTAAAATGCCATAGACTTATGCTAATAAGTTAGCATGTTGCATTTGTTTGGAAAACGTGTTTAGAAAGAGACAAGTCTTTTGGCTGTGAGCCTTGGGAGTTATAATGAAGACAATTTGTCCACTTGTGTTAGATGTTGTTGCCATTAAGTCATGTTTAATGTGTGTTGTAGGTGTGTTTTGAATCAACTAAACTTAACAGCACTTCACAGAACCACCAAATAGCATTTTGGAGGTGTAACTGCAGAGTGACACAGACACACCAGAACACAAGTATAAGTGCTCACAGGAGCGTAGGCCACGTGCATCGGCCAAGGCATAGGCTATGCATAGAGCTGACGTACAACTATAAACACACCTTTAGTGCCACCTCCCGCTTCTCCACAGCTCCACTCTCTTGCACAGATGTGGTCACTTCTGAACCAAGATGGTGATGACCGAAATCCTAAAATCAAGGCTTTAACAGTTGCCTACAAACTAAAATTCAGACAAAAATGAGCAGGTTCTGTGGAGTCCAAGTTTGAAAGAAAAGAGGAGGACGAAAGTGAGAAAAGAGGATGTTTTACATAAATAATCCAAAAATATTCAGAAGGTAGTTTCCTTGAAGTTGCAGAGAAACTTTAACTGAAGACCATCCTGCCCTAGAATCTGAAAAGTGAAACTCATGATGGAGCAAGTGCTCTCTGCTGTATCTTTATAATGTAGTAAGGGGGTGATTACAATCTCCACCTTGAGGTATTCACCATGATTGTCTCATGATTCCAGGACCTTCCAGGAGCCTGCAGCATCACCGACCTCCATGACGCCCTGTCTCTGTCCGAGGTCGGCGACCGCAGGTTGTACCTCATCGGCACCCACGTGAAGAAGGGCGAAACGGAGCTCAGCTCAGGTGTTCAGGACGCTTGGGACTTGATCATCCAGATGGTTTGTGACGACAGATAAAACACTCTGTGGGTGGTTGACACTTAATCCTTCAGAGAAAGTCTAATAAGTTCTCTGCACCTTTTCACTTAAATGTTCTCATTACACCAGGTCGGCTGACACTCTTATTTATTTATGAGGAAATCAAAACTTTTTTTGTTGTTTTGGTAGAGTTGGGATTAAAAACTAGATTCTGGGTGTTAAAGTGTAAAATTTCACTTGCTCTGTTACCAAATTACATATAAGCCAGGACGCTACAGGACAATCCAGACAACATGCGTTCACATTTTATCATCACCAAAGATTTATTTTCATCCGTGAATGTTTCACTTTGCAAGACTGTCACTGTGTTCTTCTTTCTCCTGGTGTCATTTAGCACTGTAGATACGGAAACACGAGCAACTCTAAAGCTGCCTTCAGGTTTTAGCGCAGATCGTCACACGGTACAGAATCACAGTGGATTTATTTCAGGCTGTAGATTCGCTTGGACCATCTGTGTGGCTGCTGGCAGCAGCTTTAACACCACCGATGAGCTCACAGTCTGTTACAACAGAAATGTAAAAGTGCTGTTATCATTATTATCAGAGAATATTTAATACCTCGACATAAAGACTTAAAGCTGTGCTGGGCAAGATTTACATATCAAGCACAAGAGTCCATAGAGAGGCTCCCATCCCTACTTTCACTCACTTTTTGTCCCATTTGTGCTGAAAATTCAAAGCGAAACACAAAACTTAAGTTTCCTATGTTCAGGTTTGTGATGGTACGTGATGTGAACAGTGACGTCTTTCGGCCATCTGGGGCCGCCAACATGCAAATTTGACTCTTACAGCTTTAAGGAAAAAAGACATTATACTTGTGGGATGCACTGACAAGCCTTCTGATGTGCCGTTAATATTTAAAAACACAATTTCATCAGTACACCAAGACTATTTCATGTCTAAATTAAACAGCTGTTAAATGGAGCAGGTAGAGCAGATAATGGAGGTTGTTTGCTCCAATAATCAGCTGTTTAGTCGTCATTTTATTACTGAATGATCAGACAGAGAGTTACCAAACAATAACACTATTGAATAACTTTCTGACTATGAGTGTCTTTGTTGGGTTACAGCGGGGATACTCAACTTGCTTTTCCCCGGGGCCACTTTTTCAAAATGACAGGATAATAAACAATAACGTAAGTGTAAGAATTGCCCGTTTTCAGCCTTTGAACTTTTGCTGTCCTCACTCATCTTTGCCAAGAGGTCAGCTGTATGTGGGGGTGTCTCTCCCAGACCTCTGTCGGGGGCTCAGAGGGACCCTCCTCTGGATTTTTGTTTTATTTTTGAATTAAAAAAGAGCTCTATTTTGATGCTTTTTATATACTCTGGCACTTTATTTACATTTTAAGTGCAAAAAAATCCCAGTGTGAGTCAAGTTATTATCACTGTGAATTACAAAAATAGTTGGCGAGCCATCTGGCACCCGCACCACAAGTTGAGTATCACAGAATTACAGCTTTAAAAACATTATTACTTTTTTTGACAAGTTCATTGTTACATATGTTAAGTCTTTAACTTGAAAAGGGAATTTATCTTAAAAAAGAATATAAACCAGATGTCTTTTGGATTACCTTTGTGTTTTTGCTGTTCAGAGAGGAGCTGTTTGCTCCTTGTTACTTTGTCTTAATACAGTTTAATTTGTTAAGATTTGACTTAGCTGTTAAAGTTAGGATGAAGGGGAGCTACATTGTTATGTGCAAAGCCTTAATGTGTACTGTGTTTGACGAATGTAAAGGTTTCAAAGAGCACATTTTCAAAACATGTCATTCAGATTGTCAGAGCTTTTCCCGCAATACCAAACATGTTTAACATACAGCATTGTGTGAACAGTTTGTCTTGTATACAGTTTTTGTAACTCTCAAATAAATTGTTTCCACTAAAATGATTGGTGTGTTTTTATTGTAGCTGTGAGAATTGAACATACATCACAGTCTCTCTGCTCATTGAACACCCTGCGGCGCCACATTTATAGGCTAGGTGTAAAACAAATAACACCAGCTTATCTGGGGATGCAGACTGGCCTCACGTGAGGAAAAAGCTGTGTCCTAACATAGCTGCTGACATTTACTCTGTTGTCGAGCTATCAAAGTACTTTTAAATTTGGAATCTGATCTAAACACAGCGGCTCTTCAGAAATACTGCAGCAGCCGCCCGTCGCCGCTGACCTCGATGTATCACTTTCTGTTTAACATCCTGCTGTGGAAGTCTTGAGACAGTAAGATGGATAGGTTGAGTGTGCAGACTCCAGTTTCAAGGAGTCCTCAGGTGTGAAGCTGGTTGCTAAGGACTCCTGGCTCCTTAGCAACAGCAGGAGATTAGTGTGACACCATCAGCAGGCAGCAAGCCCACACATCCAACCTGCTGCTGCTGCTGCTGTGAGACATGGTGTCTGGAAAACAAGGTAAATTTATTGATTGTTTATGTGCAACACAGTCTATAAATATTTTAGTCTCATATTTTTAGTCTGATTTATTTTCTCTATGATTCTTGCAGGGATTCAGTCCAGATTTGGTCCCTCAAACAGGTGAAGTAAAATATTTTTATGAATGTCTCTGACTAATGTTTAACGTACAACAAATTACCAATCTTGCAAAGTTGTAGATAATAGCTACTTTTAAGAAATGTTAACTGTTGAATATTTATTAGTGTGTTTCACATTTATTTATTCACTTATTTAAATATATTTTGTGTATTTACTGTATTGTATATAATATACACTTTTAACTCACCATTTCAACTGTTAATTCACTACTTATAGCTAACTGTAAGGAATATAAAGTTAAAATAAATAGTTAGCTTAAAGTAAAAGATATATAGTTGAACTAGTTAGCTAAATGTAACAAAGACACAGTTGAAATAGTTAGCTATGGGTAATGAATAAACAGTTGATATAGTTAGCTAAAAGTGACAAAGAAAAGTTAAAATTGCTTAAAGTATCGAAGAACCAGTTAAAATATTTAGCTAAGGGTAATGAATAACATATAGTTAGCTAAAAGTAGCATGTATTGAAATAGCTAAAAGTAACAAATAAACAGTTAAAACAGTTATCTAAAAAGTAACAAAGAAACAACTAAAATGGTTAGTTAAAAGTAACAAAGAAACAAAGTAACGAGTCAAAATAGGTAGCTAAAAGTAATGAATGAACGGTTGAAGTAGTTAGAAATAGTTAGTTAGCTAGAAGTAATGATATATAGTTGAAATAGCTAAAAGTAACGAAGAAACAGTTTAAACAGTTAGCTAAACATTTAGAGCATACAGTTGAAACTTAGCTAAAAGTAATGAAGAAACAAACAAAATAGTTATAAGAAACCTTTGGAAGAGTTAGATAAAAGTAACGAACAGTTGAAATAGCTAATGAAACAAGGAAACATTTAATATGGTTAGCTAAGAGAAACAAATTAACAGTTAAAATAGTTAGCTAAGAGTAACGAATAAACCCCCGCCAAGTGGGGCAAGAAAAAAAAATTATTAAGGGTCCTTGAAAAGTCAAAGTAAAGTTTTTAAATTTTGTCTGTGTACATTTGTGGGAACCCTGTCGTTAGCTAAGAGGATTGAAGAAGCAGTTGAAATAGTTAGCTAAACATAATGAAAAACAGTTGAAATAGTGAAAAGTAATGAAAAAACTTTAAATGGTTGGTTAAAAGTAACAAACAGTTGAAATAGTTAGCGAAACATTAGCCTAAGTATTTGATGTAGTTGTCTACAAGTAAGTTTAACTCCTCCTGTGAAGTGTCCATTACTTGATGTTGGTATGTACCTGATTAATGACACAATACTTTAACGTAGTTATGTTTCTACAGGAGAGATTATAATTGTTGAAAATACAGTACATCAATAGGCACTTAAGTATTTTTATGTCTGCTAATAAAGTGCAGTTAAAGTGAAGTGTACTACATTTTTTTTATGTGTGACTGTTCATTTACTGTCCCTCATCGAAGGGTCACAGTGGAATAAAAAAAGACTACAAGCTTAAACCACGACTGTAAACTTTTCTCTCTCAGTCAGTCCTGCAAAATGAAAATCCTCTCATGAAACTGTACGACTCACAGATAAACTTTGACTGTTGTGTCTCTGAGTTGATTAGTGGCCACATTGAGGTTTGGAGTTTAAAGCCAACGTTTTTTAACTGAAGAGTAAGACCAGTCTTTGGATGTCAAAGTTCTGCCAGAGAAGAAAACCCTCAACACAGATGGGAAACCCACTGAGTGATTGCACGTTCGCCCTGGGCCCAAAGTCTCTGAATTACACTCGTATTTAAAGCTGATTTGTGTTTTTTGGGAATGTTATGTTTTCTTGGCAGGATCTTGGAGCTGGCGCAGCACAAAACCTCAAAAGCAGTTTGGGCCACAACTCCTTGGTGAGTAGCTGAGTCATATGATATTTTTCCTCTTGATTAAAATGGGATTCTTTCTTACATATGTGAAAACAAACACAACTTTTGTGATACCACAAGAAGCTTCACAGTGACCTCTGTTCATTATAGTCTCGGTTTTTACAGTCTGTAAAGCTCTTCATCATTGCAGGGGTTTTGTTCCAGCTGTTACATCATATGAAATTGTATGTTTGTTCATTGATCTAGTGTGAAATTGACTCCCAGAATCCAGGAGCCTATGTGGTCAGTGTTTCCTTCCTTGAGTGCAGTTTCTTTAAACTACTTAATTAAAGACAGATGTTTGGCACGCTTTAAATGTGCGGTTAAAAAGCCGAAACAATGGGGAAATGAACAGAACGGTCACATGTGATTGAAAGTATCATTCTTTCATATTGTAGTCGCCTGCTTGGAAAATATGTATTCTTCTTCTGCGCCAACATTGTCATCATCTCAACTCCTTATTGGAAACTTTTCATCTTTTTATTGATCAGTGGGAAGCTGAGCTGGGGCAACCAGGAGCCAATATGGCCCATCTCCGCCTCAGCGCTCGGGGCCGTTCCAAGTGCAAGAATCCAATACCTAGCCAGGCACAAAAGAGACTTCTCAGCAAGGGAGGACCACCGGAGGTAACAGTAGCCTGTCTGCACCCTGAACATTATTGATGACTCTTATCAAAAAGGCATGAGAGGCAGGGGGGGCTGTTTGTGTTCATGCTCCAGAGGACCGTACACAGACCTTTTATGTAGAGCTGCATCGACATATTTCAGAAAATTTTTGCAAAGCTGACAGGGAGTATCGACTTTGAAGTCTCTCCGATGCTCTTTGGCACGGAGTTGATTCAGGAAATGCAAACTGCAAAGTGATGTTCAGGACTGATGCCAGTTGCATCACGATCTGAGGTGAACACCCCTGAGAGCTGTCAGGATCAATTAGCGCACGAGGAGCTGTGATGGCAGCTCCTGAGGCTTTTATTTTGACATTGTTTGTTGTTTCCCCCCGTCAGCTGTCACATTAAAAGCACAGTAACATGCAGTGTAATTCAATAAGAGGCCCACACAGGAAGTGCAGCTCCGAGAACAAATGACAGTAATTTACTGTAATTGAAGATGACTGCAATCACCTGCTGGTTGAGTTCATCAGAGATTTACAGTAGAGATTCAACAGCTGTTGATTCAGGCTGCTGAATACAGACAGTTTGTTTGTATTGGCTTGTTTTGTATTGATTAGTTGAATATAAGATATAGATTGTAATAATTATGTTACTTCTGATAATTACACTGCTGTTCCGCATCTAATCACATTACTGCAGCCATGTAGTCTAGTCCATTTTGTTATTTCTAATCTGATTATCTGGCAGACTGTCTGGTCCAGCTCCACAAATTATTATACAATATTACTGCTGTAATACCTCAGTGTCATAGTGTGGCCATATGTAGGGCACGGCAACTGTGACTTTCATTAAATACAAGACTGTAACTACTGATATTTTTCATTATGGATTAATCCGCAGATTATTTCCTCGATTAATAATTGTTTTTGTTATAATAGTGAAAAATGCCCTTGGCAGTTTCTCAACGCCCTGGCTGATGTCTTCATATGGTTTGTTCTGTTTGACCAACGGTGTAAAACGTTAAGGTACTCAGTTTGCAATGATTACAAAATAAAGAAAAGCATAAAATCCTCACAATTGATTAGCTGGAATCAGTGAATGTTTGGCATTTTTGCTTGGAAAAATCAGTTACTAAGGTATTTACAAATGAATTCTGTCAATCGACTTGTAGTTTCATTCATTCATTCATTTTCCGCAACTTATCCTGTTAGGGGTCGCAGGGGTGCTGGAGCCTATCCCAGCTGACATTGGGCGAGAGGCAGGGTTCACCCTGGACAGGTCGCCAGACTATCACAGGGCTGACACATAGAGACAGACAACCATTCACACTCACATTCACACCTACGGACAATTTAGAGTCACCAATTAACCTGCATGTCTTTGGACTGTGGGAGGAAGCTGGAGCACCTGGAGGAAACCCACGCTGACACAGGGAGAACATGCAAACTCCACACAGAAGGGCTCCCCCACCCTGGGTTCAAACCAGGAACCCTCTTGCCGTGAGGCGACAGTGCTAACCACTGCACCACCGTGCCGCTGTAACCTCGTTTTTCAAAACCTTAAGGTACTCAGTTCGCAATGATTACAAAATAGAGAAAGCAGAAAATGAGGAAAACAGAAAGGAATCTCTTTGACAGCAGTGTCTTCAAAGCAGCGTCTCAAATACTTACTTAAAGGCTTAGTGATTTCCCCATCTGCTGCACGCTGTAGTTTTAAGCAAACATAACTCAAATGAGTAACTTTTGCATTTGTTAGGGACTATTTTCAGTCCGATTGAGTCAAAATAAACCAGACAATACTTTTTAGACGGATAAATTCATAGTTTTCATGGGATATGTTTGATAATGACAAAAATCACCAGCCTTATCCTTAACAGTTCACTTAGGAATGACTTTGCCAAGATGACCCATTCCTTAAATCCTTAAACATGATCTGTTTTCGTCCACATATTTGCTTTAAGAGAAGAACAATGAGCTGAGAATGAAACTGTCAGCCGTGAGCATTCGACCTTGGTCATGTGTCATCCCACTGTCTCGACTCAGTGTTTAACAAATTTAAATGTTTTTGTGGGTGCAGATCATTTTCCAGTCGTACCTCCGTCATCAGCGGTGCGCTGACACTCATCCATTGTTCTGTATCTCCCCTCCTCCTCCCCCCTCCCTCTGGCTCAAGACGCTCTTTTGTCTCAGACCCACAACATAACATATAATGGATGTGGTAATAGCCTCCGTTTTCCTGCAGGAAAGAGGAGGAGGAGGAGGCGAGCTTCTCCAGGAAGACCCAACATCCTTCCTCTAAGGCTTCCCAGTATGAGCAGATTGTCCGTTTGTCAACACCCAGAACCAGGAGCTCCCAGGAAGCAGGGTAAAAGCCTCATTAGACATCAGACACAGGCGGTAAAGTGAAGACAAGTGCAGCTGAACCAAACAAACCCAGGTTAAACTAGTGCTGTGATGTTTGAGGTTATTTAGGAGCCCAGTGTTTGAGCTCTGAGCTCAGTAAGTGTTGATTTTTTTCTTGGAAATCATCACTGAAACAGCTGTTTGTTTAACTCACAAGCTAACGTCTGACCTAAAATTAGAACACTCAGTTCTCAGACACAGTACAACCATATCTGCTGTGCTACTGTGAAGTTATGTTGGTGTTTTTGTTTTGGTGACTTGCAGGTCAAAACTTTGAAATGTTTAGGTAACTTATATTTGGTGAAAGTGAAAGTTTTTAAAGCCATCGAAGTTACTGTATGTACAACCGTTATTATTATATATTTTTTAAGGTCCAGTGTGCTGGATTTAGGGGGATGTATTGCCAGAAATTAAAATTAAATTAAATTGGATATTTATATTTAATATTTTTAATTAATATTAAATTAATATTGATACTTTAATTGATATTTATTTAATATTTATGATATTAAGTTTATTTTCTTTTGTGTATAATCACCTAAAAATAAGACTTATGATATTTTAGTTACCTTAGAAGGAGCCGAGGAGCTGGACCTCGTCCATAAATCAGCATGTTTCTACAGAAGCCCAGAAAGGACAAACCAGACACTGGCTCTAGATAGGGCCATTCCCGTTTTTGGATTGGCCTATCCGGGATGAGAGCTTCAGAAAACACAGATTTGTTTTTGTGTGAAACTGTTTTATTTAGGTTTTTTTTCGTGCTTTAAATCACTAGCTCTGTTTGTTTGGAGAGGAAGAGACCTTTGCAGATAATTCGGTCCCCGGTAAAAACCTGAACGTCTGGATCTTAAGTAATCAGAGAAAAAAAAAAAGGTGAGCACACTTTAGTAAGTGCGTCAAATAAATGACATGAAATTAAAAAATGAATTCTAACCGGGAGAAGTTTTAGTGGGTTGCATTCTGCAATGCTCACCATTAGATGGCACACTGTTCCTTTAACTTCACTGTAGTGGGTATACTGTACAGCAGATACTCAGCATGCTTCACCCTGACAATTATCAGAAACAAAACAATTATCAGTGTGAATCACTTTATTTTCAGTGTGAACTAGAAATGGTTAGTGGGCCTCCTGGCACACCCGTCAGCAGAATCTTGCCAGCGGGCTGTAAATTTAGTATCGCTGCTGTACAGTATTGCAAAGTATAAACAGGATGTGCCTCATACTCAAATAGACTGAATGCTGTTGTAAGCTAGATGTATGAAAAGAAATTTTAAACAAATTTTGTATTTTTCTTACAGTCCATTAAGCATTAGTAATGATTAGGTTTCTTTTCTTTTGATAGTTTTGATTTTTTTGACGTAGGAACATTAGCTTGTTGGTCTTTGTTGTTTTACTCACTTTTCTCACAAGATGTTGTAACTGGTGTTGAAATGATTAGTTGATTAGTCTAAAAATAAACTGTACATTCTGTTACACAAAACAAAGCCCGTATTTTTTGCACTTTTCTCTAAATTTTTGCTTTTGTAAGTGGAATAATGTCGTCCTGAGGAGAGAAAGAAGTTGCATTACCTCTGTGTGTGCTGTAATCCGAGCTTTTCTGTTTCTTGTTTTGGAAGGCAGGCTGGCCACACATGCATGTTAGTGCATGCTAACGCTGATAACCTGTCCTGACCCACGGTGGCTGTAAGTGTAATACCCACCCCGCGGTTCCCCACCAAGTTATGGTGCATTCCAGGCAACCCGTAACTCGTGTTTTTACAACCTTCTACCCATGAAAGTGCACTGGAACGGCAGTCAAACCCGTTACCACCCATGAACTCGTACCAGATTGATGTACTTCCAGTTACGCTCTCTGACATCACACAGCCCTCTAAACCAATTACCTTACTCCTCTAAACAACAATGGCAGCCCCATGGATGCAGTGTTGTTGCAGGTGATACAGGGTGAGAAACAGACAAAAAATAACCCTAATGTCAGCGCATTATTGGCAGCTGCTCTAACAGCTAGCTTCCAGTGCAAGAATAAATCAATACAAAATACGTTTCCAAACACACAGATAACGTAAAATAAAAAGTATCATAGCATCTGTGACCTTATGCGCCGTTTCTCCTCCTCCGTTTCACTCAAATGAACAAGGAACCAGCACCTTTGGCGATAGAAGTGATCGTGAGGTGCCTTATGGCTGCACGGGCCGCGTCGGGCGGTGGGTGGGCGGGCCCTCCTGCCCCGCCTGTATGGGGTGTGTCTCTGGCTCTCTGGGGGTGCCGGCCATAGCCGCCCTGGGTCCTTGGGCCTGCGTGGTGTCCTGCAGCCTCTGCGGCTCCCTGGTCTTGGGGTCTGGGCGCTCCTGCGGTCTTGGGGTGCCATACCGCCCCCCTTCCCCCGCAGGGCTGGCCCTGGACCCTGGTGATGGTTTTCATAAACACATTGGGAGGGTTCAAATACACGCATGCATGTTCGATACTTCAGCTCCGTGACGCATCGCAAAGAACCGATGGGATCACTCCAAAGGGGCCCACTTGCTTCTCAAACCTACCACACCGCGCTGGCAACTCTTCTCTGCAATCGGGCTTTCCTCCTCCACCAAGACTCTCACATTTTTGGTGTTCAGTATAGACTTCTCTTTTGTTTTTGTTTTTCAGTACAGTATAGTAGACATGTATATGTTTATTTTCGATAATCTGCATGGAGCACAACCACCTCAAGGCCACAATACATCAGCTACACTGCCTGTTTCTCCCCCGTTTTTTTTTTCGTTTGTTTGTTTATTTGTTTGTTTTTCCTCCTTCTTCTCCGCATGCACTATCACTATATAACTCAGGACTTAAGCACCTGCCCCCTCCCCCTTGCTTGTTTCCTTACTTTCCCCCTGACACACTTTGGTGTATCACGGCCCTCTCTGACTCATATTAGGAAGTTTTTCCAATAAAGGCTGTTAGGCTAGTCTCCAGGGAGGGTGGGTGACGGTCACAACCACGCATTATGGGTATAAAATACTTGACTGCAAGATTAACAGTGCATCAGTCTTCACAAGAAGCTTACACCCTTTAGTGGCGCTAAGCTATGAAGACCAATGCAGACAAGAAAAAAAAAAAAAAAAAAAAAAGAAGTGATCGTGAACAAACATAAACCCTGCATAGTCTGCCATGTTGCTTTGACAGTTTGGCGTGACCTGCCTGGAACACTATGAATTCATGAGACGTGACGTGACTTGAAGTGGTGACTTACGAGCTCAGAAACTTGCCTGGAATGCAGCATTAACACTGTTATCTCCTTCAGCACAGTTGCTAGTGTTAGCACTGTTAGCCCTGCATTGCTAGCATGGCTAGCCTGCTTGCTACCGCCATTTTGGCTCCGCCACCTCGATGTTTCCTTCTGCTGTCAGAGGTGAGAGCTGTGTGCAGGTAATCCCGTCCCAGACTCTGATTGTCGCTTATAGAACCTTTAAATGTAACTGAACTAAGCAGAGGACAGTGTTGGTCAGTACTTCAATGAGTTTTTATTGTATTGATTATCTTGTCTCCACTGACAGCAACAATTTGGAAACAAATTCATCACATTAATTCGTTTAATGTTAATGTTAGGAAATATGTTCAGTACGTACACCAGCACTATGACAGAGTCTTTGACGTTTCTGTTTTACAGATTATTTCCACATCCAGCTCCAGTAGACCTCCATGTCACTGTTTTTTTTTTTTTTTTTGGCAGATTTGTGTCTTTAAACTCCAAAGCTTTCCTTTTCTCTCAGGGGGGCCCTCGTACAAACCAAAGTCTAGAGTTTGATCGCAGCAGAATAAAACCTATCATAAAGTTAAATATGAGAAGTCCAAGCAGAGGCTCCGCTCCAACACTAACGTCTCCACGCTGTGTGAGGAAGCCAGCGTTTGGACATCTGTTATTTCAGTGTCAGACTGTGGGAGAGCGAGGAGCACAGACAATAGAGCTTATTGTCCAAAGTTCAGGACCCGTGGGACGCTTGCAGACAGCCGCGGAAGTCTTTTTATAAAACCTGAACGCAGCAGCAGAACATGTTGTTGGGCAAAAATACACCATTTACACAGGGTTTACAAACACAAAATGAATATTTGTTTTTGTAATTTAAATAACAGACATTGCATTGATTGATTTTTTTTAATGCACTGCACAGTAAATAATCATCACCAGCTGTCGGAACTTAATCCTCTCATCCTGTTGCTCCAAAAAAAAACAACACAAAAATAAATGAATTAATAAATAAACCAGACAGAATACAAGGCAGCACATGGCAGATACAAATTAAACACTTTATAAAATGACACGTTATGTGCTGTCAGGGAATAAAAGTGCCAACTTAGTTTCAACCAATATTTGAGAAACTGAGTTAGTTAAATCTTTGCCACCGGCCACTTTATTAGGTACACCTTACTAGTACAGGGTTGGACCCGTTTTGCCTTCAGAACTGTCTTAATTCTTGGTGTCATAGATTCAGCAAGGTGCTGAAAACATTCCTCAGAGATTTTGGTCAATATTGACATGATGACATCACACAGTTGCTGCAGATTTGTCGGCTGCACATCCATGACGAGAATCTCCCGTTCCAGCACATCCCAAAGGTGCTCTATTGGACTGAGATCTGGTGACTGTGGAGGCCATTGGAGTACAGTGAACTCATTGTCATGTTTGAGATGATGTGAGCTTTGTGACATGGTGCGTTATCCTGCTGGAAGTAGCCATCAGAAGATGGGTACACTGTGGTCATAAAGGGATGGACACGCTCAGCAACAATACTCAGGTA